TGTATGAGTCACAGAAAAGGAGTGTTTGAAGCAGTTTAGCATTTACATTTTTTTTCCAGTTTATGAATGTCTGAGCATTAGCTGACTCAAGTTTATTAAGGATGAAAAAGCACTAGGATTTTATCATCACTTGATGTTAAATAATTAACTTAGCAAACGAGTGCCAACATCATAAAACATGATATGTATGATATTGAATCTATATCTATGTTCAATAATAAATATCTTATGGCATTCATATAACTGAAGCCCACACAAGAATAAGGAAGCTGCCAAAATAGTATCATATCCAGTTGGCTTATTCAGCAAGAAACCAACTGGTCCACAGATGCTCTTTTTTCTATGAGAAAATATCCTCTTTTGCAAGTCTCCTGTCTGAAGAATATTTAATATGAACTCTTCTCCTCCTGCAGGCTGTAAATCATTTATTCATCAAACCCTTTTATTTGTAGCAGATGGAAAACTTGCTACAAGTTTGAAAACAAAAAAGGGAAAGATTAGACAGTTAGGTGAATAATAAGACTAATTGCATTATACTGCACTGACTTTCTAAAAGGCCTTATGGCAAGGGAATGAACTGATACTCAGATGAATTTGGATGCCTTTTCTCTGTTTGGGTGGCACAAATGAGAGCTGGGCAATAAGCATTTTTTTCCTGAAAGCCCTTATTCATCATATGTAAGGGTGTGAACAGAGGGAATGAAGCTATGATAAGATGTTCCCCCATATCCACTCCTAGTGTCCTTGTCACAATGTGGCTGTCTAGCCCTGGTCCCAGCTAGTGTGATGTGCAAAATGGACCAGTTGTTCTCTTTCTGCAGAGTGTGTCCTTTTTCCCTCCCTTATTCTCCTTGCACGGGAACACACATATTCAGGCAAGAGAATGATAAGACACTAAAAAAAGATACAGTATGGTTCCAATTCTTTTTTTTCTGCAGCACTTGCACACTTCTTATGTTAGTATGGTCTGGCTACATTTCAGTAAACTCTTGTTATGTGACTATATAAGATAACTGGCATTTCTGCTCAGACTTCTTTGTACTTTACACGAGGGGAAAAAAAAGACCCTGTTCCTACATGGATCAAGAGAATGATTCTCAGATTACTTCCATTCTTTCAAAAGAAATACTGCTACCACTTGTAGTGACACCGTGGGTAAGTGTCACGCTATTGCCAATAACATAACTGCTACACTAGCAGTAAGAACAATATGTTCCTTTGATTATACATTTCTATTTACCAAGTACAATAGATAGCTGCTCACATATGATGGTGTTACAGTAGTTCCTGCTGTAATGCAATGATGCAGACCAAATAAGCCAAATTTTATTAAAGTTAAAAACATATCCGAGCAAACATATGCAAAGTGCATTTTATACATCATAATGCTATGCTTTCCCATTCATTTGACCAGTATTCTTTAAAAATACTTTCATATCATGAATTTACTTTCTTACGGTGTTAATTGAATAGTTATAGGACAGATATGACACAGCAGCAGACTGGGGAGGAGAAAAGAATTTCACAAAATCCAGTAGTAAGAGATTCCCTGAGAACTCTGTCTGGTGTAAAAAATACTGCAAGAACTCTGCCATTTGATAGTTATCTGATCTCAACTGCACTAAGTCCTGGAGGCTGGCCTGTTCATTTTGAGGAAATATGACTACAGATTGTTATTATTATTATTGTTGAAATACTGTTGACCAAGAACTCAGGAAGGGAGGGCATGTTATTTGCTCTGCTGTTTTTCTGTGTATTCATACAGGTTCCTGTTTCTGTAACCTGTGTTCGAATTAAGTTGTGAAGAATATTGCCATTCATTTCAGAACAGCTTTTTGTTTTAGCCACTGTGCCTTCATAATTGAAGCTGTGTATCTGAGTTTTATTACAATTGTTTTTTTATATTAAGGGATTCCTCTTCCACCTGCTCTTTGAGGTTGGAATCTTAGACCGTGTTTTGGCAGAGCACAATATCTACAGAAAGTAAAAAGATGATGTCACTATGACAGTATTATTGATTTAGGAGTTAATTGAAGGCATTGCTTTCATAGACAACATAAAGTGATATCCAAGTCAAAAATTTAATGTCCCATATCATTAAACAAAAATGTTTTCAGCCCAATGAGACCAGCTGTTCCTGCGCATCCAGCTGCTCCCCACCCTGACTTGCATATTTTATATATCCCAGAAGGCATTTAAAATCTGCAGCATCACTGTTGAGATTATTGCACTATTGACTTAAAAACCGCAACAACTGTTGTGAGGGAGTTAAGCAGAAAATTTACCATAGGTGGGTTATTGTTGCAAGAAAAGAGACTACTGCTCTCCTTTACTAATAATCTGATATACACTTTCTTTTATTTTTGGTAAGCAAAATATCTTTAATTTTTTTCCCCACTCAGATAAGATCTTTGCATAGCTTCCATCTGTAACTGGCCTTGCCAAAGCAACTGAAACATGGAGGAATTAATACTGAACATACAGTCTTTCCAACATAACTGGAAACTCAGGCAGAGTCACAAATACAAGTTATTGGAGTAAGAATGAGAAAAGAATAATGCTACTTACAGCTGTAGAGGAAATACTTGCACATATTTCAGCTGGTATGTACCTACTAGCAAGTTCAATACACTCTGTTTACATATGTTAACCTAACACTTTTTCCTGTGCAAAGTAATAAAAATATTACTTTATTATTGTATCAGATAACATCTATTACTATACTCCTTTAAAATTTTATTCACAATGTGAGCCGAATTGGGACTTGGTTGTTGCAGACTTTGAAAAAGAGAAAGGAGAAGGGATATTCCCCAGAGTAGCAGTTTTGATATGCAACCTCTTACTTGTGGGGTGGAAATGTAAACTTTCTTAAATGTCTGGTCAGCCATGCTAGATAAAGCAGAAGAAAAACATATGGAAATATGCACTACCCCAACTTACTTTCCTTTACACATTTGAAATCTGTGTGCATGACAAGAAGAAATAGGAATCCTATTTTTCTGCTGAACCTGATCCTGAAAATGCATATAGACAAGGAAACGTGAAATGATCAGATCTGAGTCCCAAAGCAAGAAAAGATATTCAGTGGTGGTAAGCGTCTCACACATTCATCAATGAATGTAGCACTGCCCTACTGGTGCAAATAGACTCAAACAAGATTTAAAAAAGAATGAGTTTTTTTTAATGAGGTGTTCCAAAACAATATAGATTTCCTCAAGCACAGTAGATGTTATTTCACCCATAAGAAAAAAGGTATAGGGAACATCAAAGGACATACGAAAGTATCATGCAGCAACAACAGTAGTTGTATCAATATTCTTGCTGAAGATTTATATATATACACATATATATATATGTATATATATATATATATATATACATGTGTGTGTGTGTGTATATATATTTACCTAGGAGACTTCTTTCATTTCCCATACTCTAGAAATGTTCATGGAATAATCAATATAGTTTAAACTTTGTCCTCTGCAAATATACTATCTGCTTTCAAAGATTCACACTAATCCACGTTGTGAAGCAAAGGGCAAGGCTTAGTCTTGGAGTGCCACCCTGATTAATGTTTTGATTGGCTTTTCTTCTTCTTAGTCAAGGGGAGTGGTAAACTTTGCATTGAACATTGGATTATCATAAAAATGTTGTATGTATTTAATATTTGTAAGAATGATTACAGAGTTGGCTAGCACCCCTGAGGAGACAGGCCTCCAGAGCTACACCCAAGTAGTTGTACTTTAGACCTGAGAGGGCAAAGTTTAACAAGAATAAATACCTGTACTGCTGAACAGTGGAAAGGTATTTTCAGAGATTTCCTTTAATATGAATAAATATGGCATGACTTCAAAGTGTTTGAAGACTGTGTTTCTACAGTCTCAACCAGAATGTGCATCAGCCTCTTTCATTATCTCTTCACTTTCTTGTTTGATTTTTTTGTTGTTGTTTAGCACATTTTTAGAAAATACAGTGACGTGCAGAAAGTGAATGCAGCTGTAAATTCTGTAAAACAGAATTCACACTCAGAACCATAGCTTTTAGCATTGCGACCCTTGAATACAGGGCATCTATGGCCAATAAATGTCACCTGTGACCTGATGGTTCATAGAATCACAGAATCATAGAATATCCCGAGTTGGAAGGGACCCAGAAGGATCATCGAGTCCAACTCGATGGTTCATACTCTACTTCTTCTTCTACAGAGATAAAGCCATACAGAGGTGGGGAGTGAGAGGATGTGTCCTGGTTAGTTTCAGGCAAGATAGTGGTATCAAATAGCATTATACATTTAAAAACATTCTCAATTCTAACATCAGGCATCAATACTACCGTGGCATTCACAATTACATACATCATATGCTGTATCGCCCTGTATGTGTGACCTGCTGTAGGTGAGCTTGATGTATCCCTGTCTTCTTGCATTCAGCTGACTCTGACTGAAAAGGTACTACCGACATGGCCACATACCCTGGCAGCATTTCTTTCTTTCCCAGCAAAAAGTTAGTAAACGTAGTGGGCTCAGTCTGGGGCTCTAAGAAGGCGAAATTGAAGGTGGGAATGTACTAAGATGGGAAGTTTTTCTTGTGGGCCAAAATCTCTTAGGTCCAGATGGTTCCTACAGAGTTAGCAAGGAAATGGGATAATAGTAAGTGGACAAGAATATACTGCCCCTCCTTACACAAAACCCGCAGTATTTCTCTTTTCAAACTGTAATAGAAGCGTCCTGGTACTTTAAGCCTGTTTTTTTTTTTTTTGTATCCATCTCTTGCAAAAGATTCAACATTATTGCCACCAGAAGATGTATTCCTTTTTTGTGTATTCTGGATCAGCAATGGACCATGAAGGCAACAACCCAGTAGCCAACAACTGATTTCCACTGAATCCACTAGGCTACAGTTGAATTCTTATGTAAAATTTAACCGGAGTCTAAACTGAAGTTGAATCCTAACTTCTGGCCTTCCAAACTAGAGACTGATGAATAAACAAGAAAGGAAAGATGCAATTCAGAAAATATTTTATTGAGTACAATACCATTTCATTTTAGGCTTTCATCAAAGGTCTACTTTATAAAACAACACCAACAACCTCTCTGAGGTTGAATACAGCTTGGGCAGGTGCACAAGGAGCAGGAGAGGGGCAGCATCTTCAAATTTTCATGCAAGCAGCGTAATACAGGATAATTGCATCCAGACAGTACCTTGTCACAGTGCCCAAGTTTGCACCATCTCACCAGGAAAATTTAATGCATCTACATTTAAATTTTATAAAGGACTGTAATAATCAGTAGCAAGTTCAAATATACAGGGTGTTGCCACTGAATGTTCAATGGATATACTCTAGATCATAACAGGAGAATTAGGAGCTCATAAAGAAAGTATTGTAGTAAGCACTGTGTGGAAACAAGATTAACTCTAACTCTGGAGAATGGTGGCTAACAGGACAGCAGAACTAGTGTAGATAAGGAGAGCTGTAATTTTACAAACGTACTAACATCTAACTTCTATTTTTAGCAGATGGAAGACCATAAAAGTTCCTGGGACTGGGGTTAATTCCATGACACACAGGCTGGAATGAGGACTTGGCTTCATGTTTTCTGGAGGGAGACTAATTGAACAGTAGTCCATGAGCACTTTCCAGTTGCATGAAGCAGCTGCTCATCTCATAGAAAATAGCCTTCACTAGGGTACAAGTGTGTTAATATTTATAAGAATGAAGCTGCTGCTTGCTAGAACATAGACCAGCTAATTTTTTTCTGGTGTAAGCGTTGATTTTCAGTGATAGGAAATCATAAGCGTGCTATAAAATTCAGGAACAGTCATAAGCAACCATTAAAATTTCCCCATATTGCTTAAATTCTTCTCTCAAACCTCTTTCTTTCATTATGAGGTATACGTACATTCATCAACTGTAGAAAATTTTCAGGTTGACTATTTTTCTGCACTTAATTCTGTGTTTTTATGAGCTGGTCTCCACAGAATCTTTAAAAAACTGCAATTAAACTAGCATGGTACTGCCAAAGAATTTGAGGAGCAACTGTTATAGCATTAACTATAAAAGTAAGTACAGCTGTTAGCATGTTTTATGATACAGAGCCTTCCATCATCCTTTGGCTGTGCATGTCCCAACATGTGCAAGAAGTACCACTTTATCCGGAAATATTTTTATAAAGCAGGATGGAACAATTTTCAAATTACAATATTTTCAGATAAGAAAAGAAATTAGACCACATTTTAAAGCAAGAAAAATGGAAATGTAAAGCTAAGCATATTCATTAGCAATTAGAGGAGAAAGTCCAGAATAGTCCAGAAAGACTGAAGTATTCAAATAATTGTGAAGGGTTTTGTTGAAATGAACTTCTTATTTATTAAAAAGACAACACATTCTCAAGAGCATCTTCTGTAGTGAAATAATTTAGTTTCTTCATATAGACACATCATACACAATGTTAACAACCATGAAAAACAATACAAAATGCTTTCAAATTTAACAAGTAGAAAAATATAACTAGTATATATGGCAATTGTGAATCTAATACTGTACAGAAGTATTTACGTATTTTTACAAATAAATTATAGCGTAAATGCCCTTTTAAAAATTTCTAGATGTACACTGGAACATAGGTTCTGAAGCTCACCACTAACTTGCAACAAATGAGTGCCAGTCAAATGTTCTGTCGACGAGCTCAAAAAATTTTTTGTTGGGTTCATGGAAATACTCATGCAGTTTCTCAAGTAACCAGGTATCTACTTGTGGATGTGCTCGTCCTTTTGACTCATGTAAACAACGCTCCCTCCCACTGTCCCTTAGGCAGTAGAAGCCTTTAGTTTTATTGAAATAAAAGTTTGAAGCATTTATCTGTGGTGATAATTTCAAAAATCTCTCTACCTTCTCTATTTCTGGAAAGGGATCTTTGATTAGCTTATCCCCATCTACAATGTGGATATGGTCAAGGGGAAAATACTTCAACCAGTTTTGCATGTGAATGTAGTACAAGCTTCTGTTTATTGCCTTGTAGTCCACATTGAGTTCACCATCTTTAATCAGGAATTGTTCAATGGATGGATACGGCTTGTGCTTCTGCATGTGGTTATAGAACACTTGGGTGTAATCTGATAGTACTCTCTCACTTGGGTCTCTTAAAATAAGGAGTAGTCTCATAGATTGGTTCATGTTATAAACTCTTTCAGGCACTTTAGGTGATGTGAAATACGCTGGAGTTTTTTCCACTGTGATCTGATGCGGATAAGAGAACGGCATTTGATTAACATACCACTGCAATCCATTTCTGTAATGATCTTCCCAGTCAAAGAAGTGAACTTCACTTTCTGCTGCTGCAATATCTGGATGAAGACTCAACATCTCTAACAAAGCTCTTGTTCCACCTTTTCTCACTCCAATAATGATAGTCTGTGGCAGCTGCCGGCATGTTCCATTAGAATGAATGTTTTCCTTGAAGTCATTTTTTTGAGATGTTTTCTTTAAAAGCTCTCTCTGAACAGACTGAGCAGAAGTCTCAGCCTTTGAATTGATAGCCGGTCTGGAAGGCACTATCTGAGGTTGAACAATAAGCAACACAGCTCCCAGCAGAAAAGCTGCCATGACAGAAGTTCTTAGTCTGGTTTCACTCAAGCAGGTAATGGGGCATGGAGTGATTTCCACCGAGAACAACCTTTAAAATTTGTTTTTGTTTTGCTGAGTGGATGCGTATTTCTCAAACGGAAACTTTGCTGAGAGAAAAAAAGAAGAGAGGCACATTATTTTATACTCTGATATATCACTACTAAAGCCACACTGCAAGTATCTTTTGATTTTCACAACTGAACAAACGTCTTTAGCTTTCCCAATTCTAGGCTCATAAATCATTGGATAGAATTAAATTCCTTAAAGACAGGCACATAAAATAATGCCACAAGAAAATGATTTCCAGTCACTAGGAGACATGAACATTCTGAATCTTTTTTTTTTTTTTCCACCCAAGATTCATTCTGAGGTAACTTTTTTATTTTTTTTAAAATCTGATTTCAGTGGAATTGAACCACTACTGCAAGAGATTTTTTTTTTTCTTTTTGGTATTTGTTTTTAAATCTGCAAGAATAGGTCTATTTTAGAAACAAAACCTAAAAAGAAAAAGGTATAGGCTTGAACAAGATAGCTTCCTTAAAGATGGTCTTGTAGTCTCCTAAGGGATCACGTGATGGCAATCTGAAAGTAAAGCCTCCTGGGGAAAAAAGGCTAACACTATATGAAGAGAACTTTCTACAAAAATGTGACCTTCCCATAGAAGTTAAGAAGAGCTCTGGGTGAGTAGTAGACCAAGGAAAAGGCGAATTTTTGTATAACTTTTAAATGAAGTACTCGTTTGCTGTGCTTAGGGTCTCTGAGGAAAGTCAGGTGCTATGTACTCTGCTGCTGCTATAGTACTGCAGACTACAATAGGACTGCATCAACAAAATGCAAAAAGAGCTGTGGTCCCAGTCCAAGTACTCAGGAAAGAAGATACACAATGGATATTGTTGAAGATCACTTCCAGAGTCTGGCAGCAAGCTGCTGTGATGTAAACATCTTTACTCTTTATTTATCAAAAGGCTACTAAATACTACAACTAAAAAGATCTTCAAAAGCCACCTGGACATGGGCCTGGGCAACCTGCTCTAGGTATCCCTGCTTGAGCAGGCGTGTTGGTCCAGACGACCTCCATGGATACCTTCCAGCCTTAACCATTCTGTGATTCTGTAAATTCAAGGTAAAGGTCAGGTTTCTTAACACAGTGTTCGAAATGAAATGGTAATGGCTTCATATATAGCAAACCTGTTAGATTGTCACGTTATGAGCTAGTTGCGTATACAAACTCCATAAATTTGGAGGCTTTCTGAAGTCCTGTAAGCTCAGCAGAGGCTGGTGTAAGCATGACTGTGGTATTGTCTAACTCCATGTAGAAGTAGAAGCCATAATGGCAGAGCATCTGACTGCTTTGCCTTACCAGGTTACTGTAATTATAAATTTAAGCTCAGAACAATGCGTACTGTAGTAACTACCAAGGGCTGAAGTATGAGATTACATACGAACAACCTGAGGAAATGCAAGGGCTAGGTTTTGGAAATTCTCCAGAGAATCTGAAAAGATACTAATGACTTTTCCACAATAAGCTAAGTCCCTGTGTGACAAGGACTAATGATGTGTTTCCAAGTGATGTAGAAAGTTGTTTGATAGCTTTGCGTTTACAGAGGTCATGACTTCATCCTGAATGAAGCAGGCTTGCTTCCTGATGTTTGCTACTGATTATTACTTTTCTGCTTCCCCTTTTCTAATCACTTTTAAATGGCTGCAAGGCAGTGGTATTGTTAGGAAGCAGAAATTAAGGCTGGGAGGAGAGGGAAGCAAAGGGCCATGATATGCCTATGATACACCTGAAATCAAGAAGCGTGTGCTTCTCCAGGTGCCTGCAGGCTTTGAGTTCATGACCATGCTCTGTCCTGGACACAAAGTTGTGCCCTAGGCTGTTCTGTGATGTCTGATATGAGAAAACTTTGCAAAGGAATTTGTTCTCCCATTTTTGGTCACTGCTAAGAGTTTTATCTGGTTGGAAGAGCTACATTTTGGCTGTCATTAATTTTCTATTATTTCCCTGTCTTCACCATTCTCAACTAAATCTACTTCAGTTTCAAGAAGAAAATCTCACTAATGGTGTTGTGGAGGGGTGGACTGGGTGACAGACAATTAAGAATAGGTACATTTTTGCTTTGTGCTGGATGTCCGCATTGAGCCATGCTGCCACCATATTTTAGAAGCAATGTGAGCAAGTGGTTTAATTAGATCAGTGAATGATGGGCAGCTCAGAACATAAAAGCAACAAAACATCAACTCTTCCTGAATTTTAAGGTCACAGATTAAAGGAATAGCCACTTACTGCAGAGTATATTTTAAGAGTTACAAGCTCCATAAATAGTAAGCCTGAGTCGTTGTCCTAACACCTTAATGGAAAAGCATAATAGGATTTCAGTGAGGAACAGGTTGAATTGATGTTGAAAGGAGTTAAGTAAAAGCCTAATAGTAAGAACCCCTTATTTCTTAGCAGTCAGATTGAAATATACTATACTAGTAGCCAAGTTGCATACTAGGCAGTCTTCCTCTGGAAACATTAACTTAGAGCTACTAGTCTCAGATATTAATGACAACACACTGCTGGGAACACTTTTTTTTATTATTATTTTTAATTTTATGAGCTATATATACCAATTCATTGGGATTTTTTGTTTTTAAATTCATAGTTTGCATAGTACTCAGCTGCCAACTTTTTTTATTCAAGCCTTCCCATGGCGGAGTACAGCATGGGAACGTTTGAGAGAAATAAGACCAAAGGTTTCTTCTAACTGTAGCTCTACTCTTATTTTGGCTGGCATCACTCTTCAAAATCAGACTTGCAGGATATTACAGGTGTGATACCAAGGGACTGATGTCGGGTAGTCTTCTTAACTGAAGTACTTTTGGGGGGGAAATATTATTTTCTAAGTAAACAAAACAACTGTCTTCAGTTGCAGTGTGAGCCCTCAGAATTACATGGAAGTACCCTCTAATTCAGACATACAGAATTTGATTTTTTTCCTCCTCCCCAACTATTTGTTCAGGTGCGTATCATGCATGCATCAGGATCTGTAGCATTTACTGTCTTTACGCACACCCAATGAACCATGTCAGTAATTATGCCATTCAAAGTACCTCCGTGCTATTGTTGCTTTACTTGCTAGCAATAAAGCTTTGTTTGTCATCTCTTTCTGTTCCTCTCATTTCTTTCAGACTGTGTAGGTCTGATACCTGGACCAATTATTGTGTTGTGTTAGACTAATGCAACACAATGGACATGAGTGTTCCTCTAAATTCAGCACAAAACATGTGTTGTGTAGGCAAAGTGGTGTCCAGGAATAAAACTGCTTATAAATTGGTTGCTGTTCAGCTTTCTTCTCTTCTGCCCTCTTTAATGCTTTATGCAGATCTACAATTTGGTGGCTGGAATTACAGCAGTTTATATAAAATGATGCAAATGTGTATTCCAAAGCTTTATAATTTGTAGGTCTGAAAAACTGTTTCAACAATAATAAGCATGCACTGAAGATTTGATAGCAGCCACTCTGCCAAATTACTTTTCTGCTTTAAGAATTCTCCTAACTGCCTCCACGAGTCATGCAGAGCATACATGACTGCACTCAGTGACTTTGTATTCCAGATTAATACAGAAATTTAACTGACAGTCATTACTATTGTATTTGCTACAAGTAAACGAACAAGTTGGTAAAAGAAGCACAGTTTATGCTAAATGGCGCTTTGAAGATTACACCAAGACTATTCAAAAAGTCTGATTGCTTTTTCTTAATCTTTTCTTCAGCTTTCTCCAATTAATTAGCTAAATGTGACATACTGTTTATTCAAGATTCAGTGTGGACATTGCCAATCAAATCAGCTTTCATTAAGGTTATAACCACTTCAAAACTAATAGTAATTTAGAAATAAATGGAACCTTTTCTCACTAAATGCAGTATGAGGGGTACAGCTGTCATATTTCAGTGACTTTTAAGTATATCACAGTGCTCTTTGAAAGATGTGTTGCTATTTTATCGCTTTTGACCATCTCTCAACACACACACACCACACACACGCACAGCTGCTGCCAGGACACAGACTACAAAAATGACTATATCCTTACCATTCACATGCAGGTGTCTTCATCTTCACTAAACAAAAGCTGTACCTTTTTATGGTCCTCCAGGGAGTGAGGAAGACCCCAATAAGTTTCAGGTAATCTCACTTTCTCTCATTGCAGAGCTGAAGCCCTTCGCTGGGGGGATCTTTGCACAGACATCTACGAAAACCCAGTCTGGCCCAATCGAGAACTACAGGTCAGTTGCTAAGATTTGTCTCTAGAGGGAGATCAGAGCTGAAAACTGGAGGGAGAAATTTTGCTCTTCACAGGATGATGGCACTGTAGACATGACAGAACATGTCATGTACATGTACAGTTTGTGGGGTTTATTTTCCTTTACTCTAGAAGTGCACGTTTGGGCACTCAATAGTCAGATTAACATTACCAGTTAAAAGTAGTCAGATTGACATTTCTGGTTAAAAGTAGCTGTGAGGTACAACTCACAGATCTACTACACTGGCTTCTTATAACAGGAAAAAGAAATCCAAAATCAAGTTAACCAACCCTACAAACAACCTTCTACACTGATGAAGAGTCAGTGAACTGAACATTTGTATTCAGGGTCACATTTGAAAAAAATCTGAACTAGATTAACTGAACTTGAAATTTGTCAAGTCATTGATACGAACAGTATATATTCCTACCCTCCCAGGATAGATGGTGTCTGCCATAATATATATTCTTCAGTTGTTTATATGAGCTCTTTCAAGTGACATTTTGTCTCCAGTTAGCATAAAACACACGGCAATCACTTACAGCTTAGTCAAGAGCTTTTCCTGAATTGAAAAGGCGCAATTTTATTTTTTTCCCCCCGTCTGATCTTGTTTATAAACCAGCAAAATGCAGAACATATTTCCAAGGAAAAAAAATATTTTTAACTATTAAACTCCCTCATAATGTCCTATTCATGAAGAAATGCTTCCCACACTTACTCCACACTGTTGTCAAATCACATTTTAAGAAAGTTTTAAGAAACATCTGCCAATGAAATGTTTAAACTTAGTTTCTATTAATTAACAATATGCAATTGCCTACTTTAGTGTTATAGAGAAAATTATAACAAGTCAAATAGCACTGTATACTACTGAAGCCATAGATCTCTAGGTGCATAAACTATTGATCTCATTATATATTAAAAAGCCATCTGTGCATTAAGAGGGGAGGTGAAAAGATAAGAAATTGTATTAATCTGTATTAAAGTGCCTAAACAATACTGCCTAGCTACTTAAACTACATTTCATAAATTATATTAAAAAATACTGCATAACCAGAAGAGATAAAACCATGGATTTAACTTTTATAGTCAGCATGTTATGAAATCTAATCATAATTTCAGTGTGGTTATGATGATATATCGTCTACGGGCTTTAAGACTTCAGAAATATTCCTTAAAAAGTCTCTAAATTTTGGTTAGGAGAACTTAGCAAGCTGAGAAAGGTTGACTTGGTAGGAAGTATTTTTGGCTGAGATCTGCTGTATTTCTGCACCTGCTGTGATAAATAGAGTTTATACAAATTAGCTAGGTCACTGGTTCGTGCCTTCTAAAGGAGGAGTTCAGCTCCAGTGTGAGCAATAGAGTAGCAAATTTATAATAGACTGTAGTTATATATAACATGCACTTTTTTAAAAAAAAGGTCAGAAGGGACCACTGCAATGTTTCATGCCAGGAAATCATAGACATTTTTAGAAGAGAGAATACCCTACATTTCAGAGAGCCTCATGCAGGTAAAAGGAAAATGGGACATTACAGCAGAATAAAAATAAACCTGAGAAGCTCAGGATGCACAGATATTTTTTGTACTGAATGCTCGTATGGAATCCACCTTCTTCTAGCCCTTCTTCTAGCAATTGCCTAATATCTTGCAGGACTCAAATGTTGTCCTTCATAAAGGGAACGGGAAGTACACTGTATCAGTGCCTTCTCTGTACCCTCATAAACCCAAACATTAAATTCAAAATCTTGAAGTTTTCCCACTTCCCAAGGAAAATGGGTCACAATCTAACTGGGAAGCAGAGATCTATTGCACAGTTAATAAAGTTGATTTCTAATTCATTGAAACCTTCCCTAGGAAATCAACCTGCATTAAAGGATAGCTCTGCCGTATCTTGTTCCCTTTCCATACAAAGGCTTACATGAACTGAATGGATTGAAAAAGGGAACACAGCATATTCAACAATCCCAGTTTCATTACCCCTGCCAAGCAACTTCTTACCACTCTCTGTCAATGTGGGCCCTATCTCAAATGCAGCAAATCATTGAAACCAACAATAAAAACTAAAAAAAATGAACAAACAAATAAACCTCTAAGTAACCTTAGAGATCATACTCCAAGCTGATTTATGTCTGCCACCCTCCTGCTACTTGACTTTAGATTAATACTGGAGCAGAGTACTGGTGAGGTCGCCACTGCATTAGACTTAACTAAACCAATCCATTTACTGAGTGAAGCACTGTTTGGTGACCTGGAGGGAACCCTGATACTCTGGAGTAAGAAGTGAGGTGACCCAGAAGGATCTTCCATTTTGGGCTGCCCGGGGATATTCTCAGTTTTCTTGCTCTCTTTAATTATCAAAATTTTTCAGGGAAATGCATCAATCTGGGGCTTTGGTAGCTTCTTGGCAATGGGCAGCATTTCTGGAAGAGGGAGGGAGAGACCCCCTCATGAGACTAAAAAGCATTTCTGTCTTCCTCTCTGTATCTACACATGCATGTATTCTTATGCATCGGAAAACTGTTTTTCAGTAAAGTGTCTGTAATCACATGGTTAATTTGGAATAACCAAGGTAGTATCCTCAAAAGGAGGGGACATGGCTCAGAGACTGGCAATCCGAGGGTCAGAATTTGCTCTTCTCAATTATTGCCTTTCCACTGCAGCAGCTGGCTTTGCTTCACATGTGTAATCTGCTGCCGACCGGAGACGTAATATCAAAAGCCTCTGCATTTTCCAAAAAAACAGGGAAGAAAAAAGAAAGGTGGGTGCGGACAGGGTGGATAGGAAAGAGCTAACTGAAGCTGATGTTAGTAGCTGCACTCTTAAAAGGTGCTCTTTTCTGAGCAATGTGGGAAATACACTTGTTCAAGACTGCAAGAAATGCTGGCAAATAAAATATAGTAATAATTTATAATTTGCATATTAAGTTTGAAAGGCCATTTTAGCAAGACAATTTATGGGTTGAGGTTCCTCTTGCCACATAACACTGCAGAGGCTTGCAGTGGGAGTGGGCAATGAACGGCTCTCCTGTGCCAGAACGATGGTCCCTGCATGCACCCCATCCCCATGCCATTTAAGCCTGGTATTTATGAGACTTCCCAGATATTTAATAATTTTTTTTGCTTCCCCAGTGTCCAAAAAGGAAGTCTAGGAACAGGGAAAGCCTTGAACTCAAAAGCCTTGAACTCATTGCACTAACAGAGAGGAAGGAGTCATACACTTTAATTCCTAGTCAGCTGAGGTGATTGAATTGCCTGTACCTAGCTGGGTGCCCTTCCCTAATCTTCTGTATGACTAAAAGGCAAGACCAAACCAAGACAATGCCCAGCCAGCACTCCTCCAGCTGAGAACTACCACCCCTGCCTCATGGCATCCTTTTACCCCCCATAGACTTGAACCTCTCACACACAGCCTTAACCCTGAAAAACACACAGAGAACTACAGTGCCCCCGTGCCTGTCCTGTGCTAGCCCAGGCAGCTTGCCTATTCCAGGCAAAACAAGGGTGAGCTCGAGTTCACGTCTGTGCCCTCCAGCCTTGCACAGCTTGGCAGGCTGCAGCCGAGCACGCTGCACCTGGCCAGCTTCGGCACTCAGCATGGGAGCAGATCAAAGATGCTCGGGGGAGCTTTTGCAAGTTGCTCTGCTGTCAGGTAGGAGCCCGGCGCTCCGCCACGCCGTTTCCACACCCTGCCATTCTGGCTTTGCATGCCCTTGTCATTTAGCTACAAGAAAAACAAGGCGGTAAGGAAAGAGAGTGCCTAGGGGCCAAATCTGGATGGATCTGCAATTCAGGTCCTGCTGACCGCTTCCCCCACTTTCTCCCCATTCTTTTTTTTTTTTTTTTTCCTCCTTCCCACGACAAGCGAAACCTGCCGGCTCCTGACTCAGTGAGCAAGTGCAAGCACCGCGGTGCTGCAAGCGGGGCAGGTTTCTCCGCGCCGCTCCCCGGGAGCAGGTGCCGCGGGCAGCTCAGCCCCGGCAGCGGCCAAACCCCGGGTTGCCAGCGACCGGACACCCCCCGGGGGGCACCGCTCCTCAATTCCCCCATCACCCCAATACCGCCGCCCCAATCTCCCCTCCCCGTTCCCCGGGGCAGCTCCGGCCGCTCTCTGCGGGACCCCCTCCAGCGCATCACTCACCGCGGGGGCGCGGAGCCGTGGGGCAGAGCCCTCCGCGCCGTGCCATGGGCGCCCGTGGGTGCCGGTACCGGCGGAGGAGACGGTGGCGGAGCCGTGGGAAGCGCTCCCGGTGCCGGCGGGGCGGGCGGTGTAACGAGCGCCCGCTGCCGCCCGCTCCGCTCCGCTCCTCCTGCGAGCAGCGCCCGGCGCCAGCCCGTTTGTACGGCCCCCGCTCCGCCCCGCCGCCGCGTCAGGCACGGCACCGCCCCCGGCCCCAAAACACGGCCCCGGCCCCAAACACGGCCCCGGTCCCGGTGCCGGCCCCCTCCCGGCTGCGCTCGCTCAGCCGCCGGGCGCCGCCGGTCCCCTCGGGGCCAGATCCGGCGCCCTGGTGGCGGGGTGCGGGGAGCGGGAGCAGCGCGGGGGGGGCCGGCAGTGTGCACGGATCGGCACCCAGCGCACTGCCGTGTGCGGGGATGGGCTCGGGGGATGCGGCACCGGGGGAGTACCTCGGCACGGAAAGCACCCCTCGGCTGCCTCCTGCTGTACCCATAAAAATAACACCCGTATATATATGGAATAATACCCCCCTGTCCGCTTTCGGTTTTACATACTTCGTGAGTACCTCCTGGATGTGTTTTCTGGGCTTCACAAGGTGGCTTCGATCTTATTTATTTATTTATTTATTTCCATTGAAATGCTTTTTGTGCAGCTAGAACGTAAAGCAGGATGGATGTCTCGAATGTAAGAAATGTGGCTTCCTAAGGGGAGTGGAAAAAAAGGCTTTCCGTGGATTTTAAAGTAATAGGGTTAATCCACTGAAATAGGTGTCTATTTGCCAAAACGTGGTACACACATATTTTTCAAGTCCATGTATGTTAGAAGTATCATTATCATACTACATCTCTATCAATTTATTCATCAGACAAACTCTCTTGAAATTTACTGGTAATAAAAAGCATATATATATATATATGTATATATGTTGGGGTAGCTCATTTCTCAGGGGGGAGCTTATTTCTCAGTTGATTTTGGTCAATTTAGCTCCCCACCCTCCTGAGGGGTTTCATGCAGGCTGACAGATCTGTCGGAAAGTGGTGGTCTCTTCCTAACGATGCTCAACTTGTACTGCTTGTACGCAGGGCTCAGGGCGGTTTGCCCAACGAGGTAACTTGCATAATAATGGCTCAGCACTCCCCTAACAGGCTTGGATGGCAGCCCAGAATCTCTCTGCAGCCGAGGGTCAGTGTAAGATTTCCTGATTCACACTTTTTAAAAAACATTTTCTGTTCCAAACTCTTGCTCCTGTTCTGGAGTTTTACTACCGCAGCTTTCCTTTGCAAAGAGTGGCCGCTTGTTCACCAGTGTGGCTGGAGAGCTGTTCCCCAATGGCACGTCATTTTATTGATTCAGGGTTTGGTGTTTAAAGTTCCGTCTGTGTTGGTGGAGCTGTTTGCACAGGCGTCGCAGGGCTGGGCTCACACTGCACGTGTGTGCCAGGCAGGAGGCTGGCATGAGCCGAACCTACGCATCTGAGAGGGTTCATACAGGCACGTAAGTTATTGGGTGAGGAAGGTTTAAATTGCCTCTCGTATTTCTGATTAAATTAGGCTAATCACCCACTTTTTGCAGGATACCTTGACCATTGGTGGTGACGTGTTTGCTGTTTGCGCACTCCTTGAGTTGTGGTCAGTGGAAATGTCAGGTTACACAAGCTTTTGGCACCAAAAAAACAGCTTAGTGCACTACTTCTATGTAAAAATTGCATCATGTGGATTTTCTTAAATCCTTTTCCTTCAGTCTTAGTGTGTAGTGGTATTGTAACAGGAGTCACAGCAATCAGTTACGGAACTCTGTTTTCTAGTTCTGGCTCTTACTGAGGAATGCAGAACAAAGGTGCTGTGTTTGTTTAAGTATCACCAGCAATTTCAAATGGATTAAAGGACGTAGGAGTGCGTGGGGAGCTGTTTTGTTTATAACTGTTTGTCTGCTTCAGCCCTGAATAAGCATACTTTTGTAGGGCCAAATTAATTAGTAAAATAAACAAGTGAAAATCTGAGGAATAAAAATCACTCAGTTCTGTTTGGTATCTCTAAACAGAATTTTGACAAATGTTTTCAGGAAATAAGTACAAGAAAAGATAGGATACTGTAACTATGAATTTCTTTTATGCAATGTTTTTTGCATATTTAGCAGTTAAGATATTTCCTGTATTTCAGCTTCCTCAATCATTTCACTATAATTTCTTTAACAGCAATAGACATCTGTTAATACTGACCTTCTAATTTTTAATATGTAAAGAGAATATTTCACTACTGTGTTTACTATGAAAAAAAAACACACAAGCACCCACCACCAACAGTGATAGTCTTTTTACTTGTATTTTAATATATTCCTTTATGTTTCAGTATAAACATGAGAGTCTGAGAGTCCAGTAGAGAAACAGTAGAGAAATTTCATTTGAGATTAACTTTGCTGATTAATTGTGCTATTTATGGCATGATAGTGTGTTTTGGTCTTCTTGCAAGCAGGTGAAATCCAAAATGCTTAGGTACTGTTCAACTGCTTCAGCACATGATTTAGTCATAAAGGATCACTGTTTCTTCCATGTGATCTCTAGATCAGATGGTGTGATACCTATTTCATGTTTAATATCCAGTCTTGATATAGAAGAATCAAAAGGTAAAAAAATCACCATTTCTTTAGGTAGTTTGTTCCAATTGTGAACCATCTTCAGTATCAAAATAACAACAGAAAGTATCTTTACCTTTTAATCTGGCAGTATCTAACTGTAGCTCCAAGACATTGCTTTATATTATCACCTTCCTAGGTAGATTAAAGATATATTTTGCCCCAAAATGTACTTTCTTATTCCAATTAAGTACCTTCTCAATATTATTATTATAATTTTTTCTTTTTTTTTTTTTCTTTTTTTTTTGGGGGGGGGTGAGCAGGGGATAAGCTAAAGAAAATGATCTCTTACAGCATCTCACTGAAAGGTATTTTGTCTAGGCACAAGTAACTTCAGTTTAATTTTTTTTCTTCACTTTTCACAGATTTTCATGAGTGCAATACTGATCCTTAACATTCATATTGGAAACATTTTCACAGTGCTTTGATAAGGAACCCCAATTGCCAATATGGTTTCAAGATCTATGAGTTCACCAGCTGTTAAGCTATTTCAAGTGCCCTTGACATATAGTCCTTACTTTTTCAATTCAAATGTTCTGGTTACTAGATCTGATGCCTTATGAAAGTCTTGATCTGTTCTGACTGCATATTCTCTTTATCAAGCAAATTTGTAATTTCCTCAAAGCAGACTTGTTTAACGTGGTGGTGGCAGTGTCTCTTCAACTGTGGGAAAACTGGTAGAAGTGATACAGTAACTATACACGTGCTGTATTTTTATTCTGTTGATTGAATAATGACTAATCTAGAAAAAGGAAATGAGAATTCTTAAAGCCAAAAGAATAAGAAAGGAAATTAAAATTATAAGTGCAATGTTGCCAATATTCATTTACGCTTCCCTCGTTAGTCTGAAAAGGAGGATGTGAAAAATGGGGCCTCTGATAATACCGAAATTCCATTATATCCTGGATGACTGGCATGTGTCATACACTGTAAAGAAAGAGGTGTTTTGCCCATGCAATAAATGAAACTGGAGCCTGCTTGGAGAAAGCAATTCTGAGATACCAACTCATTCAAAGCCAGGGTCAGAAAATCTGGGGACAGGGCTGGAGACAGGAAGGCACCAGACTTCCCTGAGCAGATGTGGGATGCCTCTGCAGTGGTGAAGGAGGAGATGATGACTCACGGGAAGTAATGCAGCTTCCAGGAGGGGCTGCAGCGTGGATGGAGCTGGAGGTGTGCTTTGCAGCTGGCTTAACAGCTCTGGGACTGGCTGAAGCTGTTTCAAACACAGCCTGGAGAGCAATGGATTCATGCTGCCATAAGCACCAGTGAGCAAACTCCTTAACCGGGTTTGAAACCTTTTTTTCAAACCCTGTGCCACCACTCCTCTGTTTGTCACAGTGTTTTGGAAATACAGAGGTGGAAGACAGCTGAAGAAGAAAGCATAGGCATGAAAATTACTTAATTGAGCAATACTTAAAGTTTTCTCTGTGTGGTCTCCATTGGTGCTGCCTGTTACATAACAAAGTGTACATTTGTCAGATCGAAGGAATGCAGTTATGATTTAAGCAATTTAAGACAATTCAAGCTCACGGATTTCTAGGTTTGTCACTGGGAAACACTTGGGAAAGCAGGAAGTAGTGTAATGTAGGAAGCTAAGGGGATTCAGAGGGTGAGTTATAAAATACATTTAAACAGACAATTTCTAAAGTTATTTTAAATTTAGGAAATAACAGATATGTTAATTCAGGTCTAAAATGTCAAGAAGACAGGTCGAATTCAGGGCTAGAATGAAGAAATAACATTGAGACATTTAGACATGAGAAATGCACCATTTTGGTGTGAAAAGCAAAGGACATGAGAAGCAAAGGAAAGTATGGAACAATGTTGTATGCGGTTGGGAGTGTGAGGTTATAAGCCAGCCCTTGCTCAGTTGAAATACATTTACATTTTTCTCATTTCCTACAATTTTTGGTTTTCTGTTATCCCCAGTGGCAAGAACTTATGAGGTGTTGAGGTTGGATATGACAGCGTTGCTTGCTGTATAGGTGCATTTCTGAAAGCTAGGTGGAAGGTGAGGCATGCAGAAGGGAACTCTTAAAGTAAAAAGGGAAAATGAATGGTAATTCAGTGATAATATTGAATTTTCCAGTGAAATAAATAAGGGATTAGTTTGAAGATTCCACATAGCACAGCTGAGAATTTGATTTGAAATGGTCTCTCTTAAACACGCAGTAATGCCATTGCCTGCTAATACATTTTCTCTAGACAAAACATTCTCAAGTTTGTACTTCAAGCTCCAGGAGCCAAGGACTGTGGAGCACTGAGGTTTATACTGCTGTAAGTAAGAGGACTGCCAAAATCCTGTCTTTCAATATAAACATATAAGACCTATCTTTTCCTTTCCATAACTGAAGTGTTGCTTGTAATAAGAAATAGGGATTATTACTTAGTGATGCAAGACTACAGATAATGGCTTCTACATGATATGAAGAATGTTTGGTTTAACAAAGTAAAGGGAAAATAAAAGATTAGTACTAAATTGACAATGGATGAGATCCAGGTTCCAGAAGACGTGTCAGACTTACTGCAGCTCTGCAAGCAATTAAGCCTTTGCCTTTGAGAATGTACCCCTTTATGGAATGGGATTGCTATGTAAAGAGAAAGAGGACAGATACAGAGTGATAACTGGTACAGGGTAGTCTGTGTGGGTGACGAGAGCTCTGGGCAAGAGGGGAGTGTGGAGTAGTTGCTGCAGTGCAGATTTTCCCATCCTTCTGTTCAGGGTGACATCTGAAGGCAAGCAGAGCCTTTTAAGGACAGCAGGGCTTACAGGTGCTGAAGAGGGCTGGTCTGTCCTTTTCCCTCTCCATCTTCATGGTGCCAGACCCTTTTTTCTGGGTGTCTGAGTTTGCCAAAGCAGCAGAAAACCACCAGTGCCACCAGCAAAGAGAACTGTTTCCTGCTGCTTTCATTCTTCACTGAGGTTTTGCTCCAGCTAGATCCTGCTTGTGGCTGAGAGCTGGTGAGAAAGGGTTAGGATCCCTGTTTTCAGCAGTGCCTAACCATGTCAAAATGTCAATGTCAAAAAGCCAATTGTGCTATTTAGATTTATTATATGTTCAGCCTGAGAGACATATGTTTTTCTAGTCACAGCCATGTTCAAATATAAGGAAAGAGCCAGGTGGTTTCAAAAAGACAAGTTAATTCTTTGCTCAGTCTTCTGGCTACTCTCAGTTAGGAAATCCTGGCCTTGAATTATATTAAGAGTAAGATTTTAATGCTCTTCAGAATTACAGTATTACATTATTTCCATCTCAGTTTTTAGAGAGTGTTACTGTGATTGAGAATAGTGTTCTGCATTTGTGCTGTCCCCTTTTGTTTTCCTGTACCTGCCACCTGCTGGAATATATTTTACTTTTTTTTTCTTTTTGTATCATTGCTACTTGCTTTAGAAGCAAATCCCTGTCTCACCAGTGTTGCATGATCTGTGAGAACTTAATGGTAATAGGAAAGAACTAATCTGCATATTCTAATTGAAGCATACTCTACTGTTTTTCTTGCTTAGGTGAAGGAAAGGATTCGAGGTGAATGTTTACTCTGTGACTCAAATACAAACCTGCATAAGGTAGGTTATTTCTTCTACCTGTTTCTTCTAGTATTTCTTTTATTGTTATGGGCTATATAGACTTTGCCTAGCCTCCAGTGTGTGACATGGGTAGGGCACAGAGAGCAGAAAACTGTGCCACAGTTGTCTAGGAGCCTGATAGCACCGTGGTTATGAAGGCACTTTGCTCCCCGTTGAATTGTCTGGGATGTCTGCCAGCTTTAAAGGGACTAAAAGTGGGTAAGGAGATGGCCCACTTTCCTTTCACACAGTTGGCAGGAGGTGAAGCATACTGTGTGTTTTCATAAGCATTGGGACACTTTCTAGCCATCCTTTCCCTACGCAGCATGATGTGTTATCTGCTCAGGACCAAGGCAGGGACCCAGAGTGCAGTCATCTGTCCCCTGGGTTAACACTGCAGGGAAAAAAAAAAAGAAAAGTGTGTGGCCTTTGCTTATTTCAAATAGAACATAACATCACTAGATGGACTGGAAGCTTAAAGCAAGCTGTGATTGCTCTTAACACTAAAAATCATTTGAGGTGTTGCAATAGCTACAGCACAGCAGAGGTATGGTTACCTTAGATGCAAAGAACATGCCCAGGCACCTGTATGCTTTGTAGTCTTTATCAGACAGTGTTCAAGGTTGAATGCTTTCACCTAGCAGATTATATCAAGCATAACTGTGTTCCTTTAAGGACACTGTTGTGTGTAAAAGATTTTTTTTCCTTTCTTTTTTCTGTGATGGTCTCTAACCCTTAAGGCTCAACTCTGCCTCTCTGATTCAGATTGTTACCTAAGTTTGCAAGGGATTCCACAGAAATCCACTGACCTTGCAGAGAAAGATATGTTCAACAGAGAAAAAGAAAGCTTGATCCGGGCTCTTATTAAATACAACTCGTATATAACGTAGGCTGGTCTATCATTGCATATAGCTAGCTGCCTCTAACATCATTAGGATTTCCAGGCACAGACCAACTAGGTTATGAGTTCCAGATATAGAGTGAAGTCCAAGGAAATTACATGACCCAAGTTGCAGACATAAGACAAGTTCTGTGTAAAATATTTATTGCTCCAAATTATCGTTGTAAGGGTAATAAAATGAAGCCGTATTTGTAAGTTTCACAGTGATATATTTTTATGAGTTTAGAGCTGCTGTTTGTATAAATTCAATAGAAAAGCTGTTTGGACTTGTTTCAAATTTCTTTAGCTACAGGGGAAGAACATTTATTCCCTATTTCACTTGTTAGAAAGAATGAAAAGCAAATCTTTTATCTGCTTACTAGAAACTACAGCTTTAATGAAACTCATTACCTTTCTCAGTATGGCTGTTTGAGTTGTACAGAGATGGAATCAGGTTTCCTAGACATTGAGGGACAGGGCTGACACCAGCTCTTTGCAGTCCTTTTTAGAAGGTACAAACTAAAAACGGTTAGACAGATTCAGCTGAAATATCTACCCAAATCATATAGTCACGTCAGAATACTTCAGCTGAGAATAGCTTTTGCTGGAGATTGAAGGAAGCCAATTTGTTTGTGAAATCCTGCCTAGAGCTTCCTAAGTTTCTGGGCTTGATTCTTTTGCTAGTTACTTAACATCCTGGGGGCTGGTTGAATTTGTGGGGTCCCTAGATCATCCTGGCTCCCTGGTTGCAAAAGTGTCCACTAGCAGCCCTCAGACTTGTTAAATGCTGAACAGAAAAAAAACAAAACAAAACAAAACAAACAAACAAACAAAAAAAAACACACCATCACCAAAATTTTGCAATATTGAAATCATCAGAAAAATTGTGATCACTGTCTGCTTAGCCATAGTGTAATGTGTCTTTCATAGTGCCACCCTGCCTGAAAGGCAGCTGGACTGGACTGAATGAAAGAAGTTTTACTATATCCTTAGGACTGGTATAACTGCAAAGTTCCTTTATAGAGTTGGGGAGGAATCCCAAACAACTACGTTTTCATACTCACTGTTAGAGTTAACATTTGGTTGTTCTGGTCTCATCCAGGTCTTGATCTGATTCCACGTTTAAAGGTGGTTTGGGTTGTAAAAGGTGGTAGTACCTTTAAGGTGTGCACTGGCTGTATGAGGAGTCAGTGTTCCTGGGATCCTTACTGGAGATGTTCCAAAGCTTTTGGAGAAGCCATATATTATGAGCTGGTAATTTTTTTTCAGTGACAGAAAAGAAAGTTGATTGCAACTTTATCCTTAAGGAGAAAAGGTAAAAAAGGTAACGTCTGTTATTATTATTATTATTATTATTATTATTATTATTATTATTATTATATTTATTTTTAAATTATAGATTTGATCTAGTGTTGTGTTGATTAAAAACATAAGATATCAAAAATGTCATTTAATACAACAGTAACCCAGAGCTTTTCTTGAAGACTGTCTTCCTGCCCTACAGTTTTTGTCCATGCTTCTCTGGCAGTGATGTGTTTCATTATGATGACCAGTACAGAAAAAAAGGGGACAGAAATAAATTTTTTTTTTTTTTGGATGAAGCTGTTTTTTTTTGTGTCCTCCACCACTATCCAAGGAAAAATGGATTGTTTTGTCTCTCCATCTTTTCCTCCTCCTTCTCTCCCTTAATGAGAGATGTGTTTGATACATTGCATTTACTACTAGATTGACTTTTCAAATAGCTCTGTATATATGAATAATAACCGGTTTGCTCTGGGGCAGTGTTTCATAAAAACTGTCAGTTTTAAAATTCAAACCCCTTTTTAGGCTGATGTGTCTGTGTGTAAACACCTTTTTTACCTCTCCTTCCACCCCCTTTTTCTCCACTGCAGATAAGATAGCAACATCCCAATTCATCTAGTTCAGTAAAATGAGAAGTGACCAGAATTACAAGCTGTAAGTGCTACACCAGGGAGGGAATAGCTAACTAGCTTTAATTGTGGGCACTGTTCTGCTACTGTTTGGCAGAGTCATCATAAGCCTGCTTTAGCAGCTACTAGCAATTAAAGGTATCTATGGCTAACCAATAAAAACTTTTATCTCTCTCTTAACGCAGTTACAGTCTCACAGTTAGAAAAATTGTGTTAGAATAATTGTTTCATCTGCTTTTATGCTCCAGTTTTGTAGCCCAAATTAAGAAACTCATTTTGTCCTTACATTGCAACAAAGCCATAGTAAAGGTGAGATGTAGTCATATCTCTGCCATGGATTCATATATTTCTATCTTTTATTATAGATTCTTCCGCCTTTATTGTAGGAAACATTTCTGTCACATTAGTCAGTCATGTTTCTCTATTAAAAACCCATTTAGACATTTTTTCAACAGAGAAGTCTTTCATGCTTAAAAATTTGTTATTAGGACGGGTAGGTCTTTACCCACAGAGTTAAAATCTACTTCCATTTCCCACTTAGAAAGTCTGAGATTTTGTAAAACATAGATCTAATTACTTCTAATTTCTCACAAGAATAGATTTTAGTGTTTAAATTTGCTAGGCTGGTGTTTCTGTCTGTGTATACTTGTATATACTGGAGTATATTTCATTACTAAAATATGCCTAGCTAATATATTTGTATATAAATATTTGTACATATGAATATTTACATTTTATGTAAATATCTACATAGTGGATAATGCAGTTTTCTAGCTTCATTTTTTAAATGTTTTTTTTTTTCTTCTTTTTGTTACAAAGATTACATCTCATTTGTTTAAAATGTTATCATAAAATAATTCTTCCTGTTTGTGAACATCAGCTCACACAGTCTTTGCTCTAAATCAAATGAAGAGAAGTGTAAGCAAAAATGAACTGGAGTTAATTAAAGGGTATTTTTAAGCAGTCTCACTATAAAAAACTATTAAAAAATAGACTCCATTAATGAGCTGCAGCTTGATTAGAAAGTCACTTTAAACCCCTGGCCTGTTCTCAGTTCTCTGGGAGAACAGCAAAAAGAATTGTGCAGTTTTATTGTGTAGAACTCATTAATAAAAGAGTGCTAATGCACACTGGCTACCCTGGTAAACTGTCTTATATAAGCCTGATTCAACTAGACAAATGACCTGTTTTTAAAAAGAGATGGAAACATTTGCAGTAAACCTCTGGGCAGACAGATGTGCAGAGGGGATATAGCTACTACAGAAAAATGTTCATTCAAATTCTTCAGACACAGAAGGTCAAACATGCTTAGTTAAAAGTCAAAAGAAAATCAGTATTTGGGACTAAATACTTTTCTGAATGCATAGGCTGAAGGCCTCAGCCACAGTCTTGAGATGTCAGTGGACTCTGGGCAGCATTGTTCCCTCACTCCTGGAGCGGAGCAGAAGTAATCTGTGCTGACTACTCCTGATGTTTTTTGTCCTTTCATGTGCCTGGAAATGATTTCCAGGTTTAGCTCCACCATCTTTCCAGGGATCAAGGTAAGGCTGAGTGGCCTGCAGTTCCCCAGGTCCTCATTCTTGCCTTTCTTGAAGATAGGAGTGACACCTGTTTTTCTTCAGTCTTCGGGCACTTCTGGTCACCATGGCCAATCAAAGATTATTGAGTGTCCTAGCAGCTTCTTCAGTGCTCGTGAGTGCATTCCACCTGAGTCCGTCAACTTATGTATGTCCAGTTTGGTGAAATATGTCCTGACCTGATTCTCTTCCACCAAGGGTACGTCCTCCTTGCTCCAGTTTTTCTTCCTGGTCTCTGGGACGTGGGATTCCTGAAGGCTGGTCTTCCTAGCAAAGACTGAGGCAAAAAAAGATATTGACCCTCATCTTTTCCCTGTCCTGTGAGGCTAGGTTTCCTGTTTCATTCAGCAGTGGTCCCACATTATTTTCCATAGCCTTCCTTTCATCACCTGTGTACTTAGAGAAGCCCTTCCTGTTGCCTTTGCCATCCTGCACCAGATTCAACTTCAGTTGGGTTTTGGCTTTTGTAAATGCATCTCTGCGTGCTTGGATGGTGTATTTCTGCTGGGTTCCCTGCTTCCACATTCTGCATACTTCCTTTTAATGTTTTGGTTTTGCCAGGAGCTCCCTGCTCATCCACACAGACCTCCTGGCATATTTGCCTGACGTCTTTCTCATTGGGGTAGTCTACTTCTGAGCTTGGTGGTCCATGAATATTCACCAGCTTTCTTGCATCCCTCAAGGTCCTTATCCCATGAGGCTCTCCCAAGAAGATGTCTGATTAAGCCAAAATCTGCTGTCCTGAAGTCACCAGTGTGACTTTTGTGTGGTTCTGTGTAGAACCATGAGTTGGACTTGGTGGTCCTTGTGGGTCACCAAGTACATTTTTCCTAAAAAGCCTGAATCCCTGCATTGCAACACCACAGTTGTGTGAGCCATCCACCATGTCTCTGTGATCCCAACAAGATCATGGGGATACATCTAGCTGGCAGGCAGTCACCAGTGGTGTTCCCCAGGGCTCAGTTCCAACTGAGTTCCAACAGGACAGTTCTGTTCAACATTTTTATCAATTAGATGGATGCAGGAGTGGAATGCATCTTCAGCAAGTTTGCAGACAATCCTAAACTGGGAGGTGCTGATGATTCTCTGGTGGGACAAGAGGCCTTGCATAGGGATCTGGATACATTGAAGTACTGGGCAATCATCGATGGCATGACATACAGCTAAGACAAATGCCAGGTTCTGCAGCTGGGATGGAGTAATATTGGACATAGTTATAATCTGGGAGACAAACGGCTGGAGAGCAGCTCAGCAGAAAGTGATCTGGGGGCGCAGGTCAATAGTAGGCTCAACGGGAGTCAGCAGTGTGCCCTGGCAGCCAAGAAGAGAAAGCACATTATGGGGTGCATTAAACACAGCATAGCCAGCTGGTCAAAAGAGGTGATTCTGCTGTGTTTTGTGTTGGTGCAGCCTTATCTTCACTACTGTGTGCAGCTTGGGCTGCACGATGCAAAAAGGATGTTGAGGTCCTTGAAAGTGTCCAGAGGAGGGCAACCAAGCTGGCAAAGGGGCGGGAAGGCATGTCCTATGTGGAGGTGGGAGGACACATCTCACATCTAAGAATAAGCAAAGAAAGCACTTTCTTATACCTTTCTAAAAGTGGGGGAAAGAACCAAGCAGAATATTGCAATCCATTTCTTCTACCGATAACTGCTCCCATTTTCAAAGTTGTACGTATGTCACAGGGGAGAGGCCTTACATGTGACATTTAGGTGGTTTTCCTTCAACTCCACTCTTATATGCATTCATACACTTATGACAGTTCATGCCTGTATGAGATCAAACAATTTCATATCCCTCTTTGGTTAGCTACTTGGGATGCAGGAGGACAGCAGTCCAGTTTCAGAAAAGTTGTTTCTTAAGGCCGAGGAGCTTATCTGATACTGGGAGAGATTTGTGTGATAAAAACTCTGTGATGTTTCCACTCCCCAGAATCATTCTAGGGCAGCTGGGAAAGATGGACTTTACAGGTTGGCCAGGAGAAGTCTCACCTAAACCCAAGTAAACCAAAAGTCAGGTACCTAGTATAAACCAGTGATGGTCAATCACTTAAACAGTGAGAAAGTCTTTGAGTGACTAAGTCTTTCATCTGACTGTATTTGAATGTCTTAGAGCTATCCAGCCCTATTTTCAAGATTCCCAGTTCCTGCAGATTACCTTGAATACTAGTGATAAAGCTGGCTGAGTTTTTTGCTAGTAGCTGTATAAATGTTTGCTACTGTTGTGTGTGTATTTGACCCAAAGGAATGTGTCATTCTTTGTGGCTTTTTAGGAATGCAGCATAAAAATCTATTAGAAGAGCTGCAGTAGACAGTGCTATTTACTCTGCTGAGAGGAGATGCTACAGAATGTTATGAAATCCTCCTAGCCTAGTTTAATCTTTCTTCTGTGTTCTCCCACACAGTGTTCAGAATCAGTTAAGTGACATGAAGAATATTACACATTTTTTATAACAGATGGGGGACATCACTTTTATGGATTTGAACAATTCATTAAAAGTCAGGTTTTGCTATGATTCATCTTGCTGTGATATTTTTAATATCTTATCTAGTCTCCCTATTTCAGGCTGATCCTAGTCTAAGGAGGGGACTGAGGGAATCCTCTCACAGGTCCAGCAGCAGATGTCTGCACAGGAAATGCCTTTTCTATTCTTCCTTTTTCCTTCAGAGGGGAAGTAAGAATATTTTGGAAAACATAAACTGCTCCCTGTGTGCCAGGTGATGCTAACTACATATGAAGGACGAGACAGGGCGCATAAGTGTTGTAGAAATGTATTTTCATCCTCTACATTCCCCACATTAATGGGCAGACTTGGGTGAAATGGACTAGTACATGTGAGAGTACAGTGAGAACTCTCTGGAAGGTTTTATCAAGGTTTGTTCAGGGCTAGGAAGGACTGTTAGGTGGGTTCTGGGATGGGGTGCCACAAGCCATATATGCCAACCCAAACAGTTTGTTCCTCCCTGCCCACCTCTGTGCCACCATCTTTCTCCAGAGATATGCCATCCTTCCCTGTATAATCAGTCCTTTCCACTCCATCACCAGCTGTGTATCCATAGCACAATCAGAATGTTTTATGACACATACTTGACAAGGTATGTCTTCTGCACATGCATGTGTGTAAGTTTAGGTGACCTGAGGATGTTTGCATCCCATATAACATAAATGAACACATCTGTCTCATACAAGAGGAATATCTGCTTTTTGGGAAAGTAATAGGCACATAAAAGTAGACAGTCTTTATGTGACTTGGCACCTACTTGCAAACAGACATGAATGATGGCAGACATCTACAGTCTGATTACAGGATGGGTGCATATTTGCTTACATGGCAGGGATGGACCATAATGTACAGGAGACATGTATCTTTATGAGAACTCTGGTAACATAAAAAGTTGGACGTGTAGGTCACTCATGACATCTAATTTTCATATCACAGGCCTCCGTGTAATAATAATCCCTTTCTGAACAATGCTGTCTGAGACTACAGGTATGGTTCATTAGGATATGATGTTGTGGTACAGGAAGCATTCCATTTTGATACATCTCACCTCCAAATGCTGCCCTGATTCTGCTGCAGCTGAGCAAGTAGCAACCTATGCCTACTTTCCCCAATAAAGTGTATTGCACAGACAATCAGGAAGAGAGGTAATTTATTGTCATCTTTGCAAAGCTGAAGGTCCCTGGGGGAACTGACTCTCTCACACAGGCTGGGCAGTCACTGTCCAGGAGGTGACAGCGTGTTCTGTTGTAAGCCCGCTTGCGATGGCATCTTGGTCTGGGTTGGGTGAGATTCCTCAGACTCTGCTTTTGAGGAATTCCTCTAACGCAGCTTGCCCACAGTCCAGAACACATGCACGATTCCTCCACGACTGTTCCCAGGTGCGAGGATCAATTCCCACCGTCTTCTTCAGGTGCAGTGTACTCAGTTCTCCCCAGAGAACCTCTGGGCTGAGCAGATTCTCTGCCCCAGAGCCTGAAATTGTCACCCAGGCCAAACCAGTGCAAGGGGAACAGAGTGGGAAAGTCATTCTGTAGCTGCTGTTGACTTAAATTCCTGCTGTACAGGAAGGATCGTCCACAAGATGAAATTTCTACTGCTGGGGGGTTTCATTTCTCACATTCCCTCCTTTTCTTCCCCAAGGGATGAGGTCAATGTCCGCTGCCAACTGTGAACCCCACAAACACAGCGCTTTGCATGAAGACCTCTGCTGATGTCTGTAGGTTAACAACATTCTGAGCCGGTCTTGTAGCTCCTGAAACTTGTGCAGCGCCTGAGCTTGGGCAGCTGGTTCCAGCACCAGGCACTGCGAGAGGTTGAGCAGGATGGTTGTTCAGAAGGCCGAGGGTAAGACAACCTCCTCAGTCACCCTTTTATTTCCTAGGAGGAAGGCTCAACAGTATTTCTCCTCTGGGCAGCAGCATGGGTACCAGAAGATGTCATCCAGCTGCAGCAGGAAACCTCCTGTGCCATCTTGTCAGGGGTGTAGTCATCAGGAGGTGCATCACAGCTGCCTTTGAGGAAGAGGTGGAACAGCCTGTGCCTTCCAGGATACGGTGCAGAGCTGCGACATAGTAAGTAGAAGCTGTTCTGACAGGCGTGCCTCGCCGTGAGCCTGAAGAAGCGCAGCTGATGGTCATGATGTGATGTTGTCTCTCACGGCGTGCTGACAGTGAAGCCAGCGCCTGCCTAGTTGGTACTGCAGCATAAGGAGTCTGGTTCAGCTTCCTGCACAGCAAAAATCAGCTCCATGAAGATGGTCCTCTGGGAGGTGGTTGTCAGCTGTAGCTTGCAGGAATGGGAGGAGGGCAGCACTGTTAGCTGGCAGTGGTGCGACACAGGCAAAAGCACCCAGGCCTTTTTCACCGTTTCTTGGACCCAGGAGGCAACCTTCTCCGTGTCTAGGTAGGACTGGGTGCAGAGGGTGCTTAGGAGATGCGAGGCCTGATTCTTCCCCAGGTTGTCATTGGGATGGTGGAGGATGCACTTCACGTCCCCCAGCATCCTCTCCCTGGAGCACTCGCACTTCTGTTCTACACGGACGCCGGAGTGCCTCTTTGGCCGCTGCCCTGTGGGGTCCAAGTCAAGGAGGAAGGAGAACCCGGGAGGTGGATCCAGGAACACGTGCAGGCTGTAGAATAAGCAACCCTTCTGGACATTCCAGCCAGTGTAGGTGTCATTCATCCCCATGTCTAGGTGCAGCTGTGGCATGAAAATATTCTTGGAAAGCATTCGGCAGATGCAGAGGAGGTCTCCTACTAGCTCCTTGCACACGATGGTCACTTCCTGCATGGGCCCAGGGGTGAGCTTTTCCGAAGGCCTGAAAGCACGCCGTGCACCACTGCGGTCTTTTAGCTCATTGTCCTCTTCCCCCTCCTCCTCACTGCTGGAGCTGATCTCCTTTCTGCTTCTGGCAGGCTTTGTCTTCCTTCGCCTGGCCAGCCAGCAGAGCCCACAGAACAGGACAAGGGCTCCAACAATGGCCCAGATATGCCACTGCTGGAACACAGTGGAGAGCGTGGCTTCCTCAACAACCACCTTGTTCTCCATCTCGTCTTGCAGCCGAGCCATCTCCCGTCTCAGCTGCTCCTCACGCTTCCATATCCGCTCAAGCGTGGACATGTCAGCCTGTTCGTTGACATGCCCCACGTACTGGCTTCCCAGCACAGTCAGGACAAAGGCAATCCACTCAGCCACGGCCTGGAGGAGGGGGGAGAGAAAGGGGGTTAGTGGGCCTGTCTGGGAGGGAGCTGGCTGCTGGGGGAGTGGGGCTGGTAAGAGGGCTGGTCTTGGAGTGGGCAAAAGCAGGGCTTGTGAGCACTGTGTGGCTGGGTGTCAGCAGGCTTGAAGGGGACACAGGCCCCGGGTAGAGACTCCCCGAGAGTCCCTTTGCCCTTGCTCCCAGCCCCCGTGGCCGCACCGGGCCCTGCCCACGGTGTGGCCCGGAGTGTCTGGACCCCAGGTGCAGGCTCAGAACCCCCCCCCACCCCAGATGCGTGCTGCGGCCCTTGCCCAGCCCAGCCTTCCCCCACACACCATATTCACGGATCGCCCAAGTCCAAATGAAATGGACTGCCTGGTGCTCACTCCCTTAAGGACAGGTCTCCATTGTGACTTGTCCTCTGATGTGTGTGTGACAGGCGTCAGAGCCATGTCATAGACGTCCCACCGCCCAGCTGACGCACGGCTGCCTTGGGCACCAAGGCCCCGGCACCCCCAACCTACAAACCCAAGAGCAGTGAGCTCCTAGGGGCAGACATTCCCTCCGAACTTTCCTTTAATGGACATTCTAGGTGAGTGTCCATGACTTACACAGTGTGGTAAATTTTTCTGAACCCGGTGGCCCTAATCCACGTTGCCTTTACGCCAGTAGCTTTTGGGGGCCATAAAACAGAGGCTGTTCTTGCTTCTCATGAAAGCTGCCCTGAGGAATTCTGCCCCTGAAAGCAGCTCCTTGGGGAGAAGCAGGAATAGCAAGGGATGAAACTGATGATTGTAACAGTGTCCTTTGAAGCAAGTTTGCAAGTACCACGGGGTCTGGGTGGGTTCTCCAGAAGGCCAGAGAAAGAAATATAAGAAACGGTGATGCTAAAGTACTATGCATAAATCTAATCTTTGCTAACCTACTTGCAAGTATAAGGTTATTTTATGTCCACTCCTACGTCCAAGAAGAAACTCAGCCTTTGGCACTTCTTCCCAGAAAGCCAGTAGGAACCCTGCTGGTTTACTGGGATTGTCCCTTTTACAGCTGGAGTCATGTATTTTCATGAGAACTCTGGTAACATGAAAAGTTGGACATATAGGTCACTCATGACATCTAATTTTCATATCACAGGCCTCCGTGTAATAATAATCCCTTTCCAAACAGTGCTTGGAATACAGGTGTGGTTCATGAGGTAGAAATATTGTGGTAAAAGACCAGATCAACAGTACAGAGACTAAATTTATTGGATGCCAAAACACTTTAATCATAGATGTATGTAATTCTACAAATTGTACAACTTTCGTGTCCCATGGGAGAGACAGTGCTATCTAGAAAAAACTGTTGGAGAGTTAATGTAGTGGTTCCAGTGGTTCCAGCTGCATGGTACATAGCTGTGGGGAAGGTCTATGAGGTCCATGAGTCTCTCTGGGGATTTCCATTCCATTCTTAAGCGACTGGACAGTGATACTTATAGCACTAGATAGAGAATAGCTGACTCCTGGCTAGTTTTTTCAAATTCCCTTGGCATCCAACAACCGGCTCGCAGTGGTGCTCACAGTCTGCCCATCTCAAAGGCTTTCAACACAGGCACTCTCACAGTGCTTCAGGGGTTGTTTACACTCTAGGTACTCCTCTATTTTTAGAACTAAATTATTCCCATACCCTAGAGAGTTGACTAAAGTTCAGATGTTAACACTGTTGTCAACTAAGTCTACCCCCTGTCAACTGCCACAAGGAGCAACTTTCTAAGTTTGACATATTTCATGCTGAAGCTGGTGAGAGCCATTCCATTGTTTTCAGGAGACATTGCATTTGACCCAAAATAACAGTGTCAAAATATAATGTCCTTTAATACTTGCACTAAAACCCCACCAGGGTACAGCAAATTCAAAGACTATGTCTGTCTGCAAGTACATTTTACAGTTTATTAATTTAATAATACATATGTGTGCATACGTACACCACACACATTTGTATTGCTGAAAAGAAATACAGCTGGACAACTTGATTCAATCTGCTCACTGATTTTATTTCCCTTAGACTTCAATGGCATGTAGTGGTGTCTCTGCTGATCAGTATAATGTTCAGCTCCACGCAAGATTGTATTTTATCTTGGCTCCAAATATGTTTTCAAATTAGAATGATGATGCAGATGGATCCTTGTCTCAAAGCCATATGATTGATTTCATCTCTGATATTCTGCTCCATCAACATGCAAGGAGTTATTCCTGACATCAAAGGGCAATCTGTTTACACTGGGAGTGCAGAATATCAGAGCTAAGCAATACAGGAAAAATAAAAATAAAAATAAAAAAGAGAATGGCACTGTTGTTGCTCTTTGAAACAAAACAAAACACAAAACTTATTAGGAAAGCCATACGATCCTTTCCCTAAAACAATTATCTTCAATGCTAAGAACAGAAAAACATTTGTAATGGGTCGAACAACAGGTCTGTTTAGACTGCTGCACTATCTACAGTGGTCAGTTTAGGATACTAGAAATAAGATTGGGTCAAGCAGACGGTGATATACTTCTCTTGTATCCCTTCCAAATCAAAAGTTTAAGAGGATTTCTAGAATGTGGACTAGTAATAGTCCTAGTAAATTTAGATGAGGCTATAATTTCTCTGCAATGTAACTTGTAGACCAGATTTTAAAAGATGCAAACAGTAACATAAAATACAAAGCATTATGAAATAACTGCACTCAAGTTTGTAAATTAATACATAGTTATGATATATTTTTGGCAAATAACAGAAATTGTGATGCAAAAAATTTTTTTCTTCCATTTTGATTTGGAACATAGTCACATGCTTGATTCAGATGAATGTCTTTTGTTTTTGTCAATGTAAAGGATGAAAATAAATAAATAACCCAGATTTAATTCTGACCTTGACATATATAGTTAAAAGTGTTTTGTTTTTTTTTTTTTACTTTCAATTCAAAATAGATTTTATTTGATGACCTAAAGATATTTACTAATACACTGCCATTTTTATATAGCTCATATTAGTTCCTTTTGACTGATATAATAATAATGGCATCCCTTGAAAAAAAGACTAAAATGTTGAATGTGAGCTAGCCTGACAGTGAGAAAGAATACAGGAATGTGTTGGGCAATATATCATTCCTCTGCGTAATACATAACCTTATCTCCTATGCATCACTTATTTTGTATTGAAGATCTTTCTTTGTGTTTGCATTCCATACAAATAATGAAGTATCTGGATTAGTCAGTTCTTGGTAATGGACTGTTAAAGAAAATTGAGTTTCTGAAATATAAAACATTGTAAAGGGAAACAATTATTTAGTAGAAACAGGTGAAGTAGTTTGAGAAACCATATTTCTATGTACTGGCTCCAAGTCCCCTAAGGATCTAAGTCTGTCTTGGAGGCTTGGGGCTGGAGGGGGGAGGAGAGAGAGAGATTCAGAAACTATTATTTAGATTTAAACAGAAGTTTAAAAAAGTAAATAATAATAATAAAAAAATGATTTAAAAAACAGTGACATTTAAACAGTTGGGTATGCAGGAAAAGAATATTGTAACACGTTGGACTTGCATTAGTTTCAGAAGATTCATGCCACAATGCATTTCATAGAATCATAGAATACAGGTTGAGAAAGACCTCTAAGATCATCTAGTCCAACCTTTAACCTAGTACTGACAAGTCCACCACTAAACCATGCAACTAAGTTCTACATCTACACCTTTCTTGAAGACCTCCAGGGATGGTGACTCAACCACTTCCCTGAGCAGCCTGTTCCAATGACCTACAACCCTTTCAGTAAAGAATTTTCTCTTAATACCCACCTCACTATAGCCTTTAAGTCAATGGTACAGCACAATAAGGTCTACCCAGAGCCTCCTTTTCTCTAGGCTAAGCAACCCTAGTTCCCTCATCTCTTCCTTATAAGACTTGTTTTCTAGACCCTTCACCAGCTTCCTTACCCTTATTTGGACATATCCTTGAGAGAAGTTTCAGTTTATGTCCCTGATTTTGACTGAGGTACTGTAAAGCTTTGCTCAAAGTGATATAGCAATTTTTCCCCAATATACCATCACTAAATTTACTCTGGGAATGTCTCAGATGCAGAAGTGTGTTCACCATTTCTGTCACACAGTTGTGGTGTGACAGAAATGTGTTTCCCAGAAATGCGGCATGTTCTGCACAAGGGACTGCTTTGAGTCCAAGACACCTCAAAAGCTCTCTGTAGCCTTGCTGCATACATAATAACATCCACAAGGGTGCCGTATTTCTGTCTGTTCAGCATGTGCAGAACTGTGTATGTGATGCACCCCTGAACTGTTGTCTATATGGTACATTTGCTGAAGTCAAATTGCAACTCCACAATAGCTGTCTGAGATTTTCTGACACGTGACAGACTGGTCTGTGCTAGTATTTGTGTTTCTAATCATCTATCAAACATCAGAAATTCTGTGACAAAAACACAGCTGCCTGTCCAAAGTTTTCTAGAGGCAAAAAGAGTGTATGTCCATAAATGAGAACATGCCCTGAAGTCCCTTAATGTATTATATCTCTCTTGCTAAGGTGGCGGGGACCTGAGCTCCTGGGTTGAGAATAGGTATGTTTGATCCATCCACCTCTGACTGTAGGCAGGCTACCCGAAAGAATTCAAAGTGTGAGACATGATGTGGCCAATGGATGCCTTACTCTTGCTCTACCATCCTCTAAGACAGAATAACTTTCTTTGTGCTTGTAAATATTAGTGCACTCTTGGTGCCTTCATAATACTGATAAGGTGGGAGATGATGGGAACCCTGTGGTGGGATGGGGTTTCTGCATGGCTGGGTCTCTGTTCCCAAGACACTGGTGTGAGTTGACAGTGGTTCAAGAGTTGTTTCCAAATGGTGATGAGCAGGCATGGATGGAGCATGCCTGGTGCTGCAAGATGCTCGTTCCTTATGTGTCTGTCTTAATTTTGGATGCAGATCTCCCAGAATCGCAGACACAGAACAGTCAGAATTGGAAGGGACCTCTAGTGGTCATACGGTACAACCCCTCTGCTCAAGCAGTGCTACTGTTGTGGTAACGTGGATGGCAACTAAACACCACACAGCCTTTTGCTCACTTCACACGACCCCCACAGTGGGATGGGGGAGAGAATCAAAAAATAAGTGTAAAAAATTCACAGTTTAATAGGACAAAAAATGAAGGGAAAATACCAATAGTAAAGATAAAAGAAAGTACAAAGCAAGTGATGCACAATGAAATTCAACACCACCCGATTGCTGATGCCAAGCCAGACAAGGAGTAGCCTCACCCCTCCCCCAGGAAACCTCCTCAAATTTATTATCAGATTATTATCCAAACCTCCCAGATTTATCATCCATATGAGCATATTTCATACATCATATGGTATGAAATACCCTTTTGTCCACTTTGGGTTAGCAGGCCTGGTTCTGTCTCCTCCTAGTTCTGTGTGAAGCCCCAGCCTCCTTAAAGGGAAGCATGAGAAGAAGAAAAGTCCTTAACTTAGTGTAAGCACTACTCTGCACCAACTAAAATATCAAACTGTTAGTAATACGAAGAGTTGTTTCTTGTCCAGTTAGTGTGCACTGCATAGAAAAGTTTTATTGCCTTCTCTCTGTTCCCCTCCATCAGATATTAATACACAGAGACATCTTTGATGAAAAGGGAAGCAGTCCAGAAACCTATAAAAGTAAGAGAAGAGGAGGACAGAAAGCATTCCGCTTTGATACATCTCACCTCCAAATGCTGCCCTGATTCTGCTGCAGCTGAGCAAGTAGCAACCTATGCCTGCTTTCCCCAATAAAGTGTATTGCACAGACAATCAGGAAGAGAGGTAATTTATTGTCATCTTTGCAAAGCTGAAGGTCCCTGGGGGAACTGACTCTCTCACACAGGCTGGGCAGTCACTGTCCAGGAGGTGACAGCGTGTTCTGTTGTAAGCCCGCTTGCGATGGCATCTTGGTCTGGGTTGGGTGAGATTCCTCAGACTCTGCTTTTGAGGAATTCCTCTAACGCAGCTTGCCCACAGTCCAGAACACATGCACGATTCCTCCACGACTGTTCCCAGGTGCGAGGATCAATTCCCACCGTCTTCTTCAGGTGCAGTGTACTCAGTTCTCCCCAGAGAACCTCTGGGCTGAGCAGATTCTCTGCCCCAGAGCCTGAAATTGTCACCCAGGCCAAACCAGTGCAAGGGGAACAGAGTGGGAAAGTCATTCTGTAGCTGCTGTTGACTTAAATTCCTGCTGTACAGGAAGGATCGTCCACAAGATGAAATTTCTACTGCTGGGGGGTTTCATTTCTCACATTCCCTCCTTTTCTTCCCCAAGGGATGAGGTCAATGTCCGCTGCCAACTGTGAACCCCACAAACACAGCGCTTTGCATGAAGACCTCTGCTGATGTCTGTAGGTTAACAACATTCTGAGCCGGTCTTGTAGCTCCTGAAACTTGTGCAGCGCCTGAGCTTGGGCAGCTGGTTCCAGCACCAGGCACTGCGAGAGGTTGAGCAGGATGGTTGTTCAGAAGGCCGAGGGTAAGACAACCTCCTCAGTCACCCTTTTATTTCCTAGGAGGAAGGCTCAACAGTATTTCTCCTCTGGGCAGCAGCATGGGTACCAGAAGATGTCATCCAGCTGCAGCAGGAAACCTCCTGTGCCATCTTGTCAGGGGTGTAGTCATCAGGAGGTGCATCACAGCTGCCTTTGAGGAAGAGGTGGAACAGCCTGTGCCTTCCAGGATACGGTGCAGAGCTGCGACATAGTAAGTAGAAGCTGTTCTGACAGGCGTGCCTCGCCGTGAGCCTGAAGAAGCGCAGCTGATGGTCATGATGTGATGTTGTCTCTCACGGCGTGCTGACAGTGAAGCCAGCGCCTGCCTAGTTGGTACTGCAGCATAAGGAGTCTGGTTCAGCTTCCTGCACAGCAAAAATCAGCTCCATGAAGATGGTCCTCTGGGAGGTGGTTGTCAGCTGTAGCTTGCAGGAATGGGAGGAGGGCAGCACTGTTAGCTGGCAGTGGTGCGACACAGGCAAAAGCACCCAGGCCTTTTTCACCGTTTCTTGGACCCAGGAGGCAACCTTCTCCGTGTCTAGGTAGGACTGGGTGCAGAGGGTGCTTAGGAGATGCGAGGCCTGATTCTTCCCCAGGTTGTCATTGGGATGGTGGAGGATGCACTTCACGTCCCCCAGCATCCTCTCCCTGGAGCACTCGCACTTCTGTTCTACACGGACGCCGGAGTGCCTCTTTGGCCGCTGCCCTGTGGGGTCCAAGTCAAGGAGGAAGGAGAACCCGGGAGGTGGATCCAGGAACACGTGCAGGCTGTAGAATAAGCAACCCTTCTGGACATTCCAGCCAGTGTAGGTGTCATTCATCCCCATGTCTAGGTGCAGCTGTGGCATGAAAATATTCTTGGAAAGCATTCGGCAGATGCAGAGGAGGTCTCCTACTAGCTCCTTGCACACGATGGTCACTTCCTGCATGGGCCCAGGGGTGAGCTTTTCCGAAGGCCTGAAAGCACGCCGTGCACCACTGCGGTCTTTTAGCTCATTGTCCTCTTCCCCCTCCTCCTCACTGCTGGAGCTGATCTCCTTTCTGCTTCTGGCAGGCTTTGTCTTCCTTCGCCTGGCCAGCCAGCAGAGCCCACAGAACAGGACAAGGGCTCCAACAATGGCCCAGATATGCCACTGCTGGAACACAGTGGAGAGCGTGGCTTCCTCAACAACCACCTTGTTCTCCATCTCGTCTTGCAGCCGAGCCATCTCCCGTCTCAGCTGCTCCTCACGCTTCCATATCCGCTCAAGCGTGGACATGTCAGCCTGTTCGTTGACATGCCCCACGTACTGGCTTCCCAGCACAGTCAGGACAAAGGCAATCCACTCAGCCACGGCCTGGAGGAGGGGGGAGAGAAAGGGGGTTAGTGGGCCTGTCTGGAGGGAGCTGGCTGCTGGGGGAGTGGGGCTGGTAAGAGGGCTGGTCTTGGAGTGGGCAAAAGCAGGGCTTGTGAGCACTGTGTGGCTGGGTGTCAGCAGGCTTGAAGGGGACACAGGCCCCGGGTAGAGACTCCCCGAGAGTCCCTTTGCCCTTGCTCCCAGCCCCCATGGCCGCACCGGGCCCTGCCCACGGTGTGGCCCGGAGTGTCTGGACCCCAGGTGCAGGCTCAGAACCCCCCCCCACCCCAGATGCGTGCTGCGGCCCTTGCCCAGCCCAGCCTTCCCCCACACACCATATTCACAGATCGCCCAAGTCCAAATGAAACGGACTGCCTGGTGCTCGCTCCCTTAAGGACAGGTCTCCATTGTGACTTGTCCTCTGATGTGTGTGTGACAGGCGTCAGAGCCATGTCATAGACGTCCCACCGCCCAGCTGACGCACGGCTGCCTTGGGCACCAAGGCCCCGGCACCCCCAACCTACAAACCCAAGAGCAGTGAGCTCCTAGGGGCAGACATTCCCTCCGAACTTTCCTTTAATGGACATTCTAGGTGGGTGTCCATGACTTACACAGTGTGGTAAATTTTTCTGAACCCGGTGGCCCTAATCCACGTTGCCTTTACGCCAGTAGCTTTTGGGGGCCATAAAACAGAGGCTGTTCTTGCTTCTCATGAAAGTTGCCCTGGGAGCAGCGAGCACCTTGCAGTGACCCTGGCCTGGAGGGATTCACCACTGTAACAGATCTGGCAACGTTTGTCTTATACTTGTACCTCGTGTGATCTCTTCAGGTCATACAGCTTTGGAGGTGTGGGTGGAAAGCAGTGCTTTTGCACATGAGCAGTCTGTCAGCAGCCAGAGCACTACCTCCTGAAAAACTGAATCTCCAGTCATAAAATTAAGATATTTTAATTGGAATACAGTAACACAGCATGATCTGTAGGTCTTTTTGTGTTTCTTAATGTGATGATCCTCCATCTGAAAGCAGCTCCTTGGGGAGAAGCAGCAATAGCAAGGGATGAAACTGATGATTGTAACAGTGTCCTTTGAAGCAAGTTTGCAAGTACCGGGGGTCCGAGTGAGCTCTCCAGAAGGCCAGAGAAAGAAATATAAGAAACGGTGATGCTAAAGTACTATGCATAAATCTAATCTTTGCTAACCTACTTGCAAGTATAAGGTTATTTTATGTCCACTCCTACGTCCAAGAAGAAACTCAGCCTTTGGCACTTCTTCCCAGAAAGCCAGTAGGAACCCTGCTGGTTTACTGGGATTGTCCCTTTTACAGCAGGATCAGAAGCTGGCTTTACAGCATGTTTTCTCTGAGGTGACCCAGAGTGTTCGTATTTTCCTGAAACTTTCCATCTGTGTTACATACACAGTGTGTCCTTCCTTCCTCAATTGAACACATCTGGACTGTACTTTTAAAGCCCTTGTGTAAAGTCTACTACTCAAACAGTGTAAATCTTGATATGATCAGTCAAACAAATATTTTTTAAAAGCTTTTCTGTATAATGTGACCTAGGGAAGTGCATTAGCCAAGTAAATAACCGTTTGTTGTTGGTGGTGGTGGTGTGTTTTATTTTTGTTGTTGTTATTTTGTTTGTTTGTTTTCCCATTAACGACTGATTTCTCTGTAAATCTGTGATTTCTCTGATTTCTCTGACCTACAGTACTGCTTTCTGGGAATAAAGTAGTACTGATGAAGAGAAGAGAATCTAAAAGAAATATGTAATTTTTTCATTCCAAAAAATGTATAAACAAAACCAGAGCACTGAGGTGTCTCTGTTTTTATATCCTTTAGATTGACATGCCTTTGATGCTTTGTCTTCCTTTATCTCCAGGTCAGAGGTATCATGCTGTACATTATAACTGCAACACTGTTTTCATTTTTCTCAACATCTATGCATAAGCTATGCCTTTAAAAAGACAAATTCATCTTGTGGCTGCCTGCTCTGTGGCTTCTTATATAATTTGATGTATATTTATTTATGTCTTTCCATTGCAAAGAATGACAGTTTTTACCAAAAGAAAACAAGGCATTCATTCTCATTTGTTTAGGGTTCCAAGATGTATCTTTGCAAATAATTTGTCTCCACAGCTTGCTTGAAGACTGAGAATAGGAAATATAGATCTTAGATAAAGAATATGGCAAAGCATGTAGCACTGGAGATAATCTTTTATAATCAAGGTTGGTCCATGATAGACTGTGCCTGTAGTTTTTATACAATTATGCTTTTCTGATGTGCAGAGGTAAGTATGCAACCGTTGTAAATTAATATTCAGCAGATTTGTTAGCATGCAGACCTTTGCAAGATAATCAAAAGAGCACTTAAAAAGTATTGTAATAATAAATTTCTTACAACAGATGTTCCTTAGCAGATTTTATCTATGTCATTTCAGTGATAAATTCTTCTGACTTCTTAACCTTTAACTACAGTTACACATTTACCTTTGGTTGTGAGAAATAAAAAGAACTGATAAGAATTTTCTAAAATTGATTTATCTGGAGGTCACTGAGTCTATGACAATGAAGAAAACAAAACAACAACAACAAAAAGCCCCTAATATTTACCATGAGGTTAGAAATTATGTAAAAACAGTAAAATGATTAGATCCTATAATGGGAATTCTCCAAGTTCTTAAAGTTCTTGCAAGTTATTAAGCCAAAAGTCTAAATCTAATCTTCCTAAGACATGTTATCCTCTGTTCACTCTTTATTCAGATATGATTTTAGTCTAGAAGACAGATTAAATGTGAGATTCACATCACATATTCTTTACTTTCTAAAATTAAGGTATATGCATCAAAACACTCATCAAGGCTGTCTTTATAATTAATATAGAAAAAACTATTCTAAATGAAAACTTATTTTATATGCCTTAAATAGCTGTCTTAAAATGGAGTGAACCATATCTAAAGTTGCTTAACTGTCATGTTTATTGTGGCTTAGTAGTGACAGAACCACAGGGTCAGTTTTGGCATTAATTTCTAGCTACAGGCTTTGTCCACAAAAATATTTTTTCCATTTGCTTGGATTCTAACTCTGTGTTCCAAGCAGTTTCTGCCCAGGGGTATCCTTGTCAGCTAAGCTTAGACCTACCTAGATCTTTGAAGATATGAGAATTGCATACCTAAATGCTATTGAGAAAGTATTGTTCTACTCGTGCCTTTGCAAAGTATAACTTGTAATAGTATTTATTTCCTTCTTTCCACCTGAAACTGAAGTTTGTTAGAGACATAAATAGAGACTGTTAATTTTTACTAGAAAATTAAACAATGTCAAGGAATATTTTAGCCCTGATGTCAAGTGATATTGTCTGGTTTTGATCTTAAGATTAAACTCTTCCTCACAAACACAGTGGCAAAGTGCCTGTTGGAAGAGGTCCTTGGTTTCTGTTAATATCCAACCTTTGCTGAGAATTACTTGAGAGATGGCTATTTGGCTCTGTCCAGTCTAGAAGTGAATCAAACAGCAAGGAAAATCACATGTTCATGTCAATAACACTCACTTTCATTTTTTTTATTTTACTAATATAGTTGTGGAGATAGAGGAGACAGATTCTTTAATAAGAGTAGCTAGATTTTACTTGTCTTGGCATGTAGAGCTCTGTGAACCTCTTATCTGTAAAGTAAAATTCTGTAAAATAGAAACATTACCTAAATGATATAGATATTTATGAAACTATTTCTTCAGTCTTTACTGTGGCCCCAGGAACATAGCTTATAGTGTTCTGCAGTCTGTAGAATTTTCTACTATACAATGTGAAAAGCATCTGTAAAATGGGAAAAATAAGCAGAAAAGCATACGGTGTCACTGCTTCCATTTCTTCAGGATGGTGATGCACTAATGATGGAGATAGAGAAGACAGTAGAAAAACGAGTAGGAAACTGTAGTATTTTCTAGGCCTGCACACTTCTTTAACTTATAAGATCCTCAGAGTGAAGAAGAGCTGGACTACAGCCATTATAGAGTGCTTTCAGTGATGATGCTAGAAGGATATACAGCTGCCAAGCCATTATTGAAATTATCTAGATTCTGCATACCAAACTGAGTTGAGCTAATGTGTACTGTGTATACCTTTTAGTCTTTGCTCTTTCCACTAAATGTATACATCAGCAAACTTAGGGCTGGGAGATAGGTTAATTAGATGCTTTTCTTGGGGGGGGGGAAATAAAAAATAAAGGTCATTTGAAACTGTGGTGGCTATTGTTAAAGACACTAGAAGAAAATGCATATGAAGGGAAGTGCAGTAGGGACAAGTTCATATCTTTTCCTTCCTCAGGAGATATTTAAGAAAGCCAAGGCTGATAAGAATATGGGCATGTCTGAAGTTGTTTAGTGGCTCTTACTGGATTTTTCAATGTTTTACTCTGAATGAATCTGAAATGCAGTCAGAACTTGTTTGCAATCAAAACCAACAAGAAGTCCTGCCAACAGACTGAGCTGCTTCAAACAAACAGCACCAGTTTATAGGTTCATAAATATTGGGTGCAGTGCTTTGAAAACTGTATTGAGCATTCCCAAATGCCATGGTGGCAGCTGAGCAAAGATTAAAAGAGTAATGGGGGAAAAAAATCCAGCTGCCTGTGTTTGTGGGGAAGAACCTCTCAAGCAGCAAAAACAAAAGACAATCTAAGCATAGTTTATGCATAGTAGTTTGAAGAATATATACACTTTACCCCACACCTGATTTTCTTTTGTTCTGAGAGAATGAGGTGACTCATAATAATCAAGCTCCATAGAGCTCATAAAACAGAGGAGACAGGCTCCACATTAGGGTGTCAATAAGTATTTATCCCAAGAATTAATGCATTTTTCACAAGCTCAGTGCTTATTTTCTGTCTGGTTAATAACATAGACAATATGCCTTTGTTGGCTGTGTAGCAGAGCTGAAGAAAAGCAGTTTGTAAATGAAGGCACAATTCAAGGTAGGAGGAGTAGAGGAATGGTTGGACTGTGCCTATTGTGTAGTATTCCTTTAGCGGACTATACTTTTATGATACTTTTATGACTTCTGATGTCACTTCAGAGTGTTTTTTTGTTTTGTTCTGTTTGTTTGTTTTCTGGGTTGATATTTGAGATAGTAGATTTGGATATCAGAAACCTAGGAAGAGCCTTCTTTCTGTATCATGATCATGCTGAATTATAGATATCTGGCTACTTCTGTATCTAACAGCTTTCATATCATAATTTTTGGAGGTAGAAATTTTACAAGTTCATCTAAGAAAAGCTTAGAACCTGGAGAGGATTTATTCTTGGTTGCTGTGAAGTAACTACAACTCCATGCGATAATTTTCACTGGTTTTATTTTCTGTGATTCGCTGTAGTTTACATTCTCAATATAAATGCATCTTTCTTCAGTGAAACACTTTGCTGGTCACATTTAAAATGGAAGAAGGGAAGGAACAGAGGATTATCATAAACTGAGGATGTAAAGTCTTTGGGATGTAGTTTGTTTGGAGTAAGGTTAATTTTAAGATGAGGTGTGTATTGGCTTGTAATAGATGGTTGAGCTCAGGTTGGAGTGAAAGAATTTAGTTGAATTTGGATGAGTTTTCCTAATTAATTTGCAGTATGTGTATATTAATTATTTTTTATTTATTTTATTTGCATGGTAATAAAGCATTCCCAAATTTCATAGCCATTCTGGAACTAAGAGGTAGACTTCAGACCTTGGCTTTCAGTTAAATTCCTATCAATTCTCAAATCTGAATAACCTCATATCTTAAGTCTGTACTTGCAAATAGTTGTTTCTTTAGTAGGTACATTTTCTTAAAATTACATTTAGAAGGGGCGATGTATACATTTGTCAACATGTATGGTACTCTTCTACTTGCGTCATTTGTTTTTAGGGTAATCAACGTAGTATCCTGACACACTGGTAATGGTGATCAAATGGGTTTAGCAACAGAGTGTCTGAGGAAGTGCGAGTTAGAAGCTGCTGTTTTGCAGAGACAATGGAAGTTGCTCTCTGAATTACTTCCCCTGTTATTTCTCCAGTCTGGTGAGATTCGTGAGTGTCATAAAATGAACTGTGCTACACTGAGACTGCCTTCTCACTGCGGCTGTTCAGTATGAATAAAGGAAAGTGACTGATTCTGTGTAACTCACAAGCAATTATAGCAGTGAAGGTGAGAGTGGGACTGTAAATAATCGAAGTAAATGAGAAGGCAGAATGCTCTCGAGCTTTTCTCACCTAACAACACAAAAGTGAAGGGCAAGGGTAAAGCAGTTTGCACTAGTTGAGGAAACTTATTAACTTATTCATTGAGAAGAAAAAGCAAGTGAAAGGGCACCTTCCACATCAGTATTTGAAGGAGGTTGTAATAGCATTTTTAATGAGGATGAGGCATAGGCAGAAAGAAGGGTTCATCTTTCTAGAGGAATGATCACACAGGATTGCCTGGCTCATCACATAGCGCAACAACAGTCCGTCAGGCAGGAGGTAGACTTGTGTGACTCCTTTCAGAGATGCAGACACTGGAGCCAGGCATAGCTCTTTGTCAATACATTGCATGTCACTCCCTCCCTTTAACGAGTTGATCTTAGCAGGAGAGGAGATAATGTTTGTCCATCTAGGGCATCTAGTAGGACTGCTATTTTGGGCAACATTTAGAGCCTAACCTGGGTCAGGCAGTTGTGTCCTAATCCAGCCTGTCAGCTCTAATGTGGTCCTGTCAATGTCTTCCAGTGTGATACAAGAGAGCCTTGGCATCCTATTTGAGCTCCAAGCTGTCTGTAAAATGTGGACAATATAGTTTACTGTATAGTCAACCATTCCTGTTGTTAAAATATTACCTAAATATTATTAATGGCTATATATGTAGCAAAAGAATTAATTAAAATGATCTCCTGAAAATACCAGCTCCCATTCTGGTAGTGGCTTCAAATCTCACTATTGTGAATCTGTGTTTGAAAATCTTTTTTTGTATTCTTGTGTGTCAGATTTGAGCAAGGGTCAGACTTTGGCTCAGAAGCTCAGTATTGCCACATGCATAAACAAGAAAGGATGTTAGGAGAAGGGTAGAATGGGAGAATACAACTTGAGAAGATAGCTATCAATACATCACATCATATTCAGAGTTCAGAGTTTACTAAGCTGTAGCAGCTCACTCACTAGTGGACTTTGAGGCAGTTACAGACATCTCAAAACAAAACAATAACAAAACCACCATACTGCTTAATGAGTGTTTTCAAGGAAAAAAAAAATAATCACATTGATCTGTGATAAATTTGCTGTGGCCTGTAACAAATTCTGAAATGTGGCAATAACCTGCTGCAGAGCTGGCCCCTTATTTAAAGGTTCTGGTCTTCTGCAGACAGTCCTGCAAATGATGGACTAGAATGTGAAATAATTGCGGGGGTGAACATTATGGAAGTAATGTACTTAAAATGAAATTTCTTCCAAACATAAAATAGTTAAGGTTTTCCCTGAAGTACAAATATTTTCATCTCTTTATCGTTTTCTTCCCATCTGATTTAATTATTCAGAATTAAATTATTTATTCAAAAGCCCAATTCTTAAATATTTTGTTAAGACTAGATACCTGGCTCCAGTAGTATTGTGTGAAGAAGAACTCAGCTGGTTAATTAAATGCATTATTAAGAAGTGTCCAGGGAATCTTTTGGATTGGCAAAATCAAAATAATCAAAAAAAAAAAGAATAGGACAAAGTAAAGAAACTGACTCCTAATAGGAACAATACGGGCCAAAAATATCTAATTATTTTTGAAGATAGAAAATTATGAGATAGATTATAGGGTGTGGGTACTTAGGATCTGAAGGAATGGACTTGGAGTATGAGGATATGACTTCCGATTCACTGTTTCTGTACAGTTATTATGCTGCTTCAACTTTAAATGTTTGAGCTGAAAACAGAAGAACAGCAGGAACATCTGTGGCCTCTCAACACGGCACCTGTGTTTAAACCATTAAACCACCTGTTTAAAAAGGTGTAACTAATACTATCCTAACTCATTACAGATAAAAATCTGGCTGTAGGTGCCACATTGGATTAATGAAAATAAATTAAATAAAGAAATAAAATAAATAGTTAAATAAATATCGATAAAATAAAAAAGTATTCATTTTGGAAACTTTAACCTGCAAAGACCTCAGTGCAAGTAGTTTCCTGGCAACGAAGAATGTTCTTATATAGAGCAGCTAACACTGAGTGAGGATGCCAGATCTGGGCCAAAATCAATTAAAATCAGAGAAAGTAACAGTTGACTTTGTTATAAGAAAAATAACTTTTTTCTTATTTCTTCCTACTCCAGAAGAAAACCTGCTACTAGGAAATTAGTAGATATTTACCAGCCTTCTGCCTGAATTTCATTTGTTCGTTTCTCTCCCTACTTGAAGTTGAAGGCTTTCCTTTCAGAAAATAGTTCATAGGCTTGCATTTACTGAAAAAGAAAAAAAAAAAGAGAAAAAAAAGAAAAAGAAAAGAAAAGGGAGAAATAGAAGCTTTTCAACTTAGTTGCCTAATGAGTAAATGCATTGAACAGAAATTCTCTTTTGTCTTTCTACTTCTTTTGAGTTCTCTGTTTTTGAGTCGAAAACGAAACAAAGCAAAACAAAAACAAAAGAAAACACCCCACCAACATTTTTTGGCTGTGATCATAAAGATATGACTTTCTGGCCATGACAGGAATTGTTCGTGAGTGCTGAAAACCATCATACAGACATTTGACTTCATGGAATACTGTCTCATAAAGACATCTAAACTGTAGTACAAAACTCACTGAATCAAAGGTTCACTCTTGCTCTTTGCCTGAGTTTTAAGACATTGTTTTGGTTTAAAACTTTAGCACAAAACTCCTAACACCCTTTAGAAAAGTTAAAGCATCACTACACATTTTAAATATCTGTGTAATTTCTTCTTTTCAAGTACTCTGTGGTAAAACACCTGCTCTTACTGAAATACCATCAATTTTATTTATTTATTTATTTATCTATATATCTATCTATTTATTTATTTATTTTCCCCCAGCTAACCTTATGCAACAACCAAGTATCTAACAAATAAGGTGGTTGTTTCAGGTGACATGAATGAATTAAACCTTTTGCATTCTACCTGCATGTCTGTCATTACGTTAGGCTTTTCACCGGTAGTTCACACATCACAGAAGGAGATTTGCTCAATTTGCCTTCCATGTAAGCTTACAGTTTACAGATAAAGTACAGGTCAGGAATCATGGCCATTTATAATTTCCTGTACACCTTAAGGAAAGATAATTCAACATTGCTAAAGAGTGTTGGTTATGCAGTGAACTTTCCAGCTTGCATTGAGTCAGATTAGCCTATACAGTTTCACTAGATTTAAATCTGTGTTTCTTGCATAATGAAAAAAAAAATTGCTCAATGAAATAATCCAGTGGTGTATCCATATATAAAAGTCCATGACCAAGTTCATATCTTATTTAATTCCACTGACATTTTTAGACTCACACCGTGGATGAATTTTTCTTGTTCAGTGTACCCTGTCACTATTTTCCATATTAATATTAATGGAATTGCCATAGTATCTTGGTTTTTCTTCTAGCATTATAACTGTGCACTCGATAAATAAAATATAGCATTAACAAGATAAATAACTGAGATTGGCATGTGTATGTATCCAGTGTACACAGAAAATGTTGGAATTTCATTATAACTGCTTGGGGAAAAATTTATAATATCTAAATAAGTAAAGTCAGATTTTAATTCTCTAATTGAGTTCCTGGCTTCTTTCATAATTTTTATTTATTTATTTATTTTTAAGTTTTAATCCTTACTAAAGTACAAACTTAAATCTACAGATTTGAAGAAATTTAGAATACAAAATGGAAAGTCATGATTGCATTCATATATTAACCAATATATATGTTATAAATGTTATATGTTATATGTTACATTATATATGTTATATATGTTATATGAATATTATAATATGTAATTATAATATTCATATATAATATTATATATTACATATTATAATTACATATATTATTATTATTATTATTATTATTATTATTATTATTATTATTATTATTATTATTGTTTGTTTGTTTATTTATTTATTTATTTATTTCTGGGGACAAAACATGAAGAGTTACCAGAGTGGTATTGATTTTTCTGTCTTTGACTTTAAACCAGTCTTCTGCTTTCTTGAAGTTAAGTACGCAGTTTTGGCAAAACTGTGACACTTGCAATGTGAGCTCTGCCAAGTAGAGTCTTTTATAGCTCAAGAGGGTGTGGAGAACAGGAAGGAAAGTACCCAGTGTAGCATCTTGTCTTTGCCTCATCTCAAGGATTAGGGGTGAGCAATATGCTCAGCCCTGCCTTTTTTGAATCATTACCCATGCTGATAACATTTTATACTCATTGCACAGGAGTAAATGGAAGGCAATGAATAATCTGGCCAGTTTCCTATAGGCTTTCCATCAATACTGGAGTCAGATGGACTAGACAGACCATACCTGTCTAATGGGAATTGTTCTTCCATGCCTGCACTATCATACTTGCCATTTCCATTCATAAGCTGGATAATGGCCTCTGTCTCTATTACTCTCCATTTCCTCCTAAACCATTTTTGAACCTTCATTTCTCAGGCCCACATGAACCAGTTTAGTTGCAGTAGTATACTAGTAGCTGACAGCTACTTGATCCAAAAGTCTCTGCCAGTATGGCCTATTACTGACACAAATTACACTGTATTAGTGAAATATATTTATTAGCTTGGAAGCCCTATTATGGCACACGTTTTAATACTTGTTTGTTTTATTTTTCTTCTGTGGAATTGATAAAAAGGCTAGCAAAAGACTGAGGTAGCTTATGACCATAGGGAAGCTAATGCCATTTTTTGAATTGAGAAACACAAATGCTTTTATGTAGCCTTATTCATTACACCATCTTCCTTATGAAAAAGCTGTAAGAGTGCAGAATGATTTATCATGGAGAAACCGGTGTACTGTCATCTTTCTCCCAAGAGGATTCTGACGTGGTTTGTGCAATAATGCATTCAAAATCAAACTAACAGTATTTATTTTCTGGTATCTCATCTGATAATTGAATGAATAACCATCACATGAACAAAGGGCAATCTGCATGCTTTATAGGCAACTAGGTTTCAGGCAGTTGTGAAATAATGAAAAGTAACACTTAATAAGAATGCCAGATGAATATGTCAAGCTAAAGTTTTTGAACAATGCATGAGAAGGAAAAAGTAAACTCTAGATTGCGCATTACTTCCTACAGTAAAGTTGAATACTGTTTGTTTAGTAGTGATTCATGAGACCCTAGAGTTGTGTACACCCGAGATGTGATGCTTACACAGAGTTTCTGTTCTCCAATTAAATGTGGCATCAGTATTTTCTCCTTCAATCTTTTATCTGTTTTTATGTGCCTGATTTTTTCCCCATTTGCTTGCAAATGATGCTCACCCTTTGTGTCATATGTCATACTGTGGGCTCTTGTTTTACTTACTGCATGAAATAATATACAGACTCCATTTGTATCAAACTGCTCTTTTTTCCAAGACAAATACTAAAATAGCTACCCCTAACTACATGTTCTTTATTATTATTATTATTATTATTATTATTATTATTACTTTTTTTTTTTTTTAATTTTAAAAGTGATCTTATTTCTGATTGTGCAGTATCCCTTTCAATATGTTGTCCTTTCCTCTGTTCTTCATGCAGAGTACTACACTGCTCTTTCCCGTTCTTTCCTCCATTGCAACTTCTAAAAATAATCATCCATAAAAGTAGCTATTGAGCTTTATTGTTACTAGCACAGTGAAATTAATAGTGGTGAATATACTGTACCTCACTAAAAGGGTGCCTTAAATTGTTTGACGCATCTCCCAGGACAGTCAGGGAGTTCTGAGAAACCCCAGTGTTTCCTGTTACTCCTTCCACAGTAGTATGGGTCTGCATTGATTTTTCCAGTAGTCTGTGCCAAACAGGAACAATTTAGCTAGTAGGGAGGTAATAAAATAATCTTTACAAGCAATGAATATACTAATGTGGGTCAGAAACTGGATTTGTCTTTGAGTGTGAGAGAGGATCTAGTAGTTCACTACATTTCAGAATTTTTTAAAATAATTTCAGAATAATTCTAAAATTCTGTTTTTTGTTTTTGACACATCTTACTTTTATTTGGGACCACTGAAGGATTTAATTTTTCTATATCACTTGCTTTCATTTCAAGAAGGTAAAATGTATCATTTTAATAAACCAAATATTTCAGTTCAGCCTTTTCCTTTGCTTATATATGATTTTTCAATGATATACTACACAGCCTAATATAAATTAACAATGAAATCAACATGAAATGCTTTTAAGATTATCCAAATGAAATAATTTATCATTTCCAGAGTGATTTGAGAAAGCTGAGACGATTTTTTCAACTTCTTCCTTTTAAACATGTCATTGAAACAAGCCTGTTCTTATGAAATTTTCCAGGATGGTAGTTTTCTCAGTGAAATGAATTTCCTAGAAAATGGCTAAGATCAATGCTGGAGATGGGAAGCGTACATTGAAAAACAGCATGAATGACCTAGGCTCATATTGTCAGTGCTCCAGTGGCTGTGTGAATATCTCCTACGTTTCTTTTTATTGCCTTCCTGTCAAGAGTGCAATGCATCAAAATTGCCATCAAGTGAAGAGTTCATGTTTTGTTCCAGCTGTTTTTTTTTCTTTTTTGTTTTGTTTTGTTTTTCCCCGTTTTTTTTTTTTTTTTTTTTTTCCCGTTTGTGGAGGGTCGATGTGTCTAAAAATAATTACAGGACGTTCTAAAATGGAGACCGATAAGTGAATTACATTCAGGTGAACAATTAATTTTCTATGAAAATATGGACACAGGTACACCTTCAGACATTAACAAATAAGAGCAATATATCCTTCTGTTTGCTCAAGATATGGTTAAAGCTGCTTCTATTGACAGTGATAGCTGTGTTATTACAGGATGCTTGTGACTGCTCTTTATGAGCTCCTTGAGTTGTATTCATTCCTCTGCTGTCATAAAAGTATATTTATATAACAAAAAACTACACTGCCTGTGTCACTGTAATTGCCATGGTCAGATGCAGTGTAACATCCTGGCATTGAAAAGAGCTAGTAATTCTGTCAAAAACTTGAGAAGTCTCACTGTGAAGAAGGAACGGAGAATGGAATTTTGTGAATTTTCTTTTTAAATGTCAATAGAAGCTACTCTCTGAATTGCATGCCTAGAAAATTGTGTATCAAGCCTCACTGTAATAATAATAATAATAATAATAATGATAAAAGTATGTCAGGCATAACTATCTTCTCTAGATCTTACACTTTAGTAAGGCTTGCAAGTATCTAAGCCTTGTACCTGAGAAAACCAACCAGGCCTCATTCTAACATGTTTCAGAGGCTCACAAAGCAAAAACAAAACAAACCAAAACAAAAACAAACAAACAAACAAAAAAACACAGAGGAAAGTGTGTTCTGTCTAGACCTTTCTATTGGTTGTTGATCTCTGTGTAGTTCCTGGGTCAAGCCTTCTATGCATAGCTAATCTTGCTCTGGGTGTATCATTTACTGTGTTCCTTTCATGGACTCTTCCAAAGTGGTAAGTGGTACTTCTGTGTTTTGCTTTTGCTGTTGTTATTTTAACAAGCAACGCATTTTATGGGGCTTCCATTAAAAGGATGTATTTAATTTAATTAAATTTAATTGAATAACTGTATACCCAATTACAGTTACAGTTGTGTACAGATGTGGCTGAAAAAGCATGCTGTTATTGTGATTTATTATTAGTCATACGCTGTTGCAGTGCACTAAATAGCTGAACTTTTAAAGTAAATTGAAAAAAAAAAAAAAGTAATTCTAAAGTAATTCTTTTCAGGAAAGGGGGCTATTAAGAGACAAGGTATGCATGAAAGGCAGCTCTCCTACAAACGAATGTCCACTATTACTGACATGTTTTTTCCATCTGAACAGAAAATCCTTCTATAGCAGAAAGCCTTTACAGATCAATTTAGCTGTGGAAATGGCTAAGCAAAACCATGTTATCCCTCCTTAGTCTATATCAATCAGCCAATTACATAAAGTAGCTTGCATCAATGGTCTAGATGCCAAACATTCAGTTAAGGATCAGAGCTTCAGATGGAGTGTGCAGACATGATTGCATTTAATGCACTGAATATGCATCATTTTAGTTTGAAAGAAGGCTAGTTCAAATACCCGTAAGCACCCTGGACCATGCAGAAGAAGTAGAAAATAACTTTTTCTTCCATGAGACGTTTTCCAATAGTACTGCAGTCTCTGAGACCTATGAAGCCACCTACTGCTCAGGTTTTTATAGTGACCTTGTCCATGCTATTCTTACCCTGTCAAAGTCTTGGAACAAGTTTTAAAAAGTCTTATGTTTGTGAGTATTATTGGCTTACACAAGTAGCAAGACCATGAAGGGCCTGGTCCATACATCTGTAGTCTCTTTCAGCTGAAGGATGAACTCCATTAGAATACTTCTGAGGAACAAGGAATTATGTTCAAGTTATTTTTCCCCGGCTAGTTCATGCCCTGCTGAGTTAGGTGGAAGTGATTCATAGGTTGCTAGTGGTACATGACGGTAAAGTCAATTACACTGCTAAATGGTAAGATAAATGCAAAAAAGATGATGAAAGAATCAGTGGATTGCTTTTTAAGGGAGCACCTCTATACATTTTGCAAATGCTTCGTCAAACATCACAATG